CGGCTCTGCTGCAGTGGCTGAGGCTGCTGCTGCAGCGCAGGTCCGTTCGGGGAAGGGCCGCCGCCCCAAGGCTGGGCGCGGCGGAGGAGGCGGCGGGGGTGTGGGCGGGGGTAGTGGTGGGGTCGGGTCGCCTGGTGCTGGAGTGGACGAGGGGACCCTGCCCAGTTCAGCTGAGTCGCCGCCCCTGCAGGTGCAGCAGCTGCAGCAGCCGCCGCAGTCGCAGCCTTCACAGCAGCCGCAGCAGCCGTCGCAGACGCGGCAGACGAGTGTCCTCCCGCCAGGGTGGCCCGGCGCTGGCGGTGGCCGGGCGCGTGGTGGTGTGCCGCGTGGTGGCTCTGGCGGCGGGCGTTGTCAGTACCAGATCCAGACCGGTCCTCGCCGCGGCTTCGTTTGCGCTAAGCTCGGTCACTCCACTCCCCGCTGTTTTCGTCGCCTGGACGACCTCTTTCGTCAGCGCTTCGGCCCGTCGCCAGACCTCCCGGACTGGCACAGTTTGCTTAGTCGTCAGATTCAGATTTTTGATATGGACATGGATGCCATTGTTTCTGCTCTGCATGTGATGTATGCTGATGACTCTAGTGTGCTTCCCGCTTATTACTCACTGCTGCCTAGTGTATGTGTGCCTAGCTTAGCCTCCCCTGCTGCGTCAGGCGTAGGATCCCCTGCTTTGTGTAGTCTTGGTGCTTCCGCCGTCGTTCCGTCGCCAGACCCCTCGGCTTCGCTTTCCTTCACTTTGGACTCTGGCGCCTCTCGGTGTTTCTTCCGCGACTCCACCACCCTGACGCCGCTTCCTGTTCCTGCTGCCGTTTCTCTTGCTGACCCCTCCGGCGGTCCGGTCGTCGCCCGCAGTTCCACCACCCTTCCCTGTCCGGCGGTTCCTTCGGGTTCTCTTACAGGTCTGCATATCCCCTCGTTCTCCAGGAACCTAGTTGGTGTCGGCTGCCTCCAGGACCTTGGCGTCACCACTACGTTCCCTGGTCACGAGCGGTATGCTGTCTGTACCGAGGCCGCCACTGGTGCCCCCCTGTCCACGTTCCCCCGGGACCCGGTGTCCGGCCTGTTCACTCTGGACACCGTGACCCCCCCCGGCTGGGACCCCCCCTCAGGAGGCTGCGTCTACCCAGGTTGCTGCTGCCTGCTCCTGTCGCTCCCTCACTCACCCGACCCTCCTGTGGCACCACCGCCTAGGTCACCCTGCGCTCCCGCGTCTGCGTCACATGTCTCAGCACGGTCTCGTCCTTGGTCTCCCAGGTTCGCTCCCCGCGTTTCCCTCCTCTCCAGCCCCACCTTGCACGCCTTGTGTCGAGGGTCGGCTTCGCCGTGCCCCTCACTCCTCCTCGTTTCCCCCTACCGCCGCGCCGCTGCAGACCCTGCACCTGGACGTCTGGGGCCCCGCCCCCGTCCCTGGGCCGCGTCGAGAGCGCTACTTCCTTGTGCTTGTCGACGACTTCACTCGTTACACCACAGTCTTTCCCCTGGAGCGCAAGGCCGACGTGCCTGGCGCTCTCATCCCCTGGCTTGTCTCTGCGCGTGTCCACCGCGGTCTCCCTGTCTTGCGTCTTCACTCAGACCGTGGTGGCGAGTTTGCCTCCGGTGTCCTTGGTCGCTTTTGTCGTGCGGAGGGCATCACCCAGACGTTCACCCTACCGGACTCCCCACAGCAGAATGGGGTCGCTGAGCGACGCATCGGTTTGGTCATGGAGGTCGCTCGCACCTCCATGATCCATGCCGGTGCACCCCATTTTCTGTGGCCGTTCGCTGTGCGCTACGCTTCTCACCAGCTTAATCTGTGGCCGCACCCTCATCAGCCGCAGGTTTCGCCGACCCGTCTTTGGACTGGGTCCCCTGGTGACGCGTCTGCGTTCCACGTCTGGGGCTGCCTTGCTCACGTCCGTGCCTCCGGCACGGACAAGCTCACTGCCCGCACCCTTCCCTGCGTCTTCCTCGGTTTTCCCCTTGACGCGTCCGACTGGCACTTTTACCACCCGCCGTCTCCCCGCTTCTTTCACTCTCGTGATGTCACCTTTGACGAGTCCGCCTCCTACTACCGCCGCTTTCCCCGCCGTGGTCCCCCGGTTACCCCCCCCCTGTTCCTGGTCACCCCTTCCCCGGTAGTCCCTGCCCCTCCTCCTCCTCCTCCCCGTCCCGCCCCCTCTGGTGTGTCCCACGTCACCCCCCTTCCGTCCGTGGACCCGGTTGAGGAGTCTTCTACCTCTGGTGGCCCTCCTGTGCAGTCCTCGCCGGCCGCCCCTCCCCAGGTGTCCCCTCCCCAGTCCCCTCCTCCACCGCCCCTACCGCTGCTGCAGCCGTCGTCGTCGCCGCCGCCGCCGCCGCCGCCGCCGCCGCCGTCGCAGCCCCCGTTCGCCGACTCTGGGGGTGCTCGTCCCGGTCGCCCTGGGGGTGGTCCCTCTGGGGGTGCTGGTGTGGAGAGTGCCGGTGGTCGCCGAGGAGCAGCTTGCGGTCCAGGTGTCGCCGTTGTGCCGCCGCAGCAGCGGTCCCCGCCGGTGTCCGCCCTTCGCCTGCTCGGCCTTCCGTCCCCCGACCCTGCGTCGGTTCCTCCCCGACCGTCTCCTCCTCTTCCTGTCTACGGCCCTGTTTTCCCTCCGCCGGACTCGTCCCCGGCTCGTCTCCCCCCTCGTTCCCCTCCTGTGTCCCCTCCCCTGTCTCCTGACCCGACTCCTCCGTCGCACGTCTGGTCTCACCGCCCCTCCCGTGCTCGTCCTGCCTCGCCTGTCTTGCGCTCCCACCCTATGTTGCTTCGTTCCCACGCGTCTCGTCCTCCCCTTCTCCCGTCGCCTCCTCCGTCCTCCCTTGTTGTTGCGCCCCCCCCGCTGTCCGACTACCTTCATGCCGCTCATCCTCTCGTCCCTCGGGTCCTTGCCTCTCTCGTTACCGACCCGTCTGTTCCGGTCTCGTGCCTTGACGCTCTTGTCGCTGCTGTCGCTGACTTCGCCTCTACCCGCCGCCTTGACTACGCCACCGCTCTGGTCTCTGACCCTGCCTGTCCTCCGTCTGTCGGGGGTGCTCCTGCCCTTGGCAGTGACGTCCTGGAGGACCGCCAGTTCGAGCTTGCTTTCCTGTCTGAGGCTGCTCCCCATCTCTGTTCCATGCTGCTAGTCCCTGAGGGTGACCCTGACGCTTTCGACATCCCGACCCCTCGCACTTACGCTGAGGCGACTTCGGGACCCTGGGCCTCACAGTGGATAGCTGCCATGGAGCAGGAGATGGCATCTTGGAGATCCACCGGCACCTTGGTCGACGCAGTTCCCCCACCTGGGGTGAACGTAGTCGATGGCCGCTGGCTCTTCAAGGTGAAGCGCCCTCCTGGAGAGCCGCCTGTCTTCAAGGCGCGCTATGTTGCTAGAGGCTTCAGTCAGCGCGAGGGGGTGGACTTCTTCCAGACTTTCGCTCCGACCCTGAAGATGACTACTCTTCGGGTTCTGTTACACGTAGCTGCTCAGCGTGACTACGAGCTTCACTCCCTCGACTTCTCCACTGCCTTCCTTCAGGGCAGCCTACACGAGCAGGTCTACCTGCGTCGCCCTCCGGGCTTTACTGGCACCTTCCCTCCTGGGACCCAGTGGCTCCTGCGGCGCCCCGTCTACGGCCTGCGCCAGGCTCCCCGTGAGTGGCACGACACTCTTCGTGCTACCCTTGCTGACCTGCAGTTCTTTCCGTCTTCCGCAGACCCTTCACTCTTCGTTCGTGCTGGCCAGACTCCGTTCTACATCCTTGTTTACGTCGACGACCTGGTCTTTGCCACAGCTGACAGGGACGCACTGGCCTCCGTGAAGGCCGAGCTGCTGAAGAGACACACCTGCACTGACCTTGGAGAACTGCGCCGTTACCTTGGCTTGCAGATCTCCAGGGACAGAGCTGCGCGCACCATCACCCTGACTCAGTCACACTTGGTGCGCCAGGTCCTTCAGAGGTTCAGCCTTCAGTTCTCCTCTGCACAGCCCACCCCTCTGCCTGTAGACCACAGACTCTCCGCTCCAGTACCTGAGGAGGTGGTAGAGCCCAGTGGCCCCTACGCAGAGCTCGTGGGTTGCCTCATGTACCTGATGACTTGCACTCGCCCAGATCTCGCATACCCTCTCAGCATCCTGGCGCGCTTTGTGGCCACAGGCAGACACCGACCGCAGCACTGGTCTGCCGCTAAGAGGGTTCTGCGTTATCTTGCTAGTACATCGGGCATGGGGTTAGTGCTTGGAGGACGCAGGCCAGTGGTCCTTACTGGACACACAGACGCTTCGTGGGCAGACGACGCTGAGACACTCAGGTCTACCCAGGGCTACTGCTTCAGCCTTGGCTCAGGTGCCGTCTCGTGGAGAGCTACTCGCTCCTCGTCTGTTGCACAGTCCAGCTGTGAGGCTGAGATCTACGCTGGTGCCATGGCGGCACAGGAGCTCCGCTGGCTGACCTTCTTGCTCACTGACTTAGGTGAGCGGCCTAGCTCTGCCCCGGTCCTGTTCGCTGACAACCGGGCCATGATCGTCCTGTGTCAGGAGCCTCGACTCGAGGGCAGAGCGAAGCACATTCAGCTGCGGTACTTCCTCCTGCGTGAGCTACAGCAGCGACGTCAGGCTCGCGTAGTACACTTGGCCTCAGGTGCCAACACAGCTGATATCTTTACGAAGGCGCTTGCGCCTAAAGATCATCAGCGGCACTGTGTACAGCTTGGTCTAGTTCCTGTCGCTTCTCACTTGCTAGGACCTTGACTTGTACTGTCCTTTATATGTATACTCAGACTGGACTTGTGTCCTCTCCCAGTGGCTGGACTAGTAGTGCCGCCCTGGTCTTGTTCTTGCCTTGTCTGTACTCCTTCTGACTGGTCTCTCAGACCCTTGTCTCAGAGGTTGGACTAGTAGTGCCGCCCTGAGCTGCTTGTTTAGGGTATTCCCCTATGCAGTCTAGGGGGTGTGTCAAACATCTGCATTTGTCATGTTTGTATAGACTGTATAGGGTTACCTCTTAGAGGGTACAACACTTAGGTATATTTGTGTGTACTCTCACTTTACCATCTATTCAATTTTCAATTCTGATAGTTTGTTCACCCTAAATCCTAAGCCCAATGCCAGAATTGAGGTCAGTTCAGTGGGGTTGTTGGAAATAACGCGGCTAGCAAAGGCATTATTCCGAAAAAGCGACCTCAAAACTTGAGCTGCCGGCAAAAAACATTCCTCCTGGCAAACACACTGCAGGCAAAAACGTTACTCCCAGTCCCAGCAGCACCAGCAGTACCAGCAGCAGCACCACCACCAGCCAGCGCAACCATCTCGAGCTCCCCCACACGTCTTTCCAGCACATCGACGTACTTCATGGCTGTCCACCATGGCGCACGTGCTCCCCCCCCCCCCCCCCCCCCCCTCCCCCCACTCCCCCCCCTCCTCCCCCCACTCCCCCCCCTCCTCCCCCCACTCCCCCCCCCCTCCCCCCTTCTCCCTCCCCCTCCCCCTTCCCCTCTCCCTCACAGGCCAGAGGGCCGTCCAGCAGCTGCCAGGAAGGCAGCAGCATCACTCCCGAGGCCCACAGGAATCGAGGTCAGCGCAGTCGGGTTGTTGACAAATGCATGACCAGCAAAAACGTTACCAGCAGCAAAAGCGTTGCCGGCAAAAGGTTTAGTCCTAGCACCACCACCAGCAGCTAGCGCAACCAGCTCGAGTTCCATCACACGTCGCTCCAGCGTATCAACGTACTTCACGGCTCTGTCCAACATGGCGCACGTGTCGCCCCGCCCCCTCACCCTCACCCTCAGCCTCTGCAGCCCCTCGCTTATCCTCTCCCTCCTCCGCCGCTCCGCCATACTCCGCCTCGTCACCCTCTGCCTCGGCTTGTCCGAACCACTCCTGCTCTTGATCGCCTGGCCTGGCACATCCGAACCATTCCTGCTCCTGAACCTCTGGTTCGGCGAAGCCGAACCACTCCTGGTGCCCTGGCCTGCCGCCAGCCATTCGCCTTCCGTCCCAAACTCGTCTTGCATCCGGCACTGGTCTTCCATCGCGCCCTTGCTTCTCACCCCGCGCCCGTCCCCTATCTGCCAGTCGCCTGCACTCGCGCACTGAACCTCCTGACCATCCGAGCACTGGTTCCGGGGCGTTTGAGGCACCTCAAAAGCATCCTCCTGGGCGTCTGTGCAATCGATTTCCTCGGCACCCGCACACTCGGGCTGCTGTTGAGGCTCCTCAAAACCAAACTCCTTGGCATCACTGTGAGTGGGCCACTGAGCCGTGCCGTCTTCGCCGTTTGGCACACCCTCTTGCCCATTGCTGCTGCTGCTCGTTGCACCACCAGTTGTTGCACCGCCCGTTGTGGCACCGCGCAGCCTGCGTGTGGCCTCTGAGCCTCCACTGCATGGAAAACGCTGGTTTCTGGCGTCAGGTGACCACTGGTGCTGGGCATGCTGGAAGGCTTGCTCACTCCACTGCTGCTGCTGCTGCTGCACCCGTTGCATCTGGGACTGCACATGCCGCCGTGCCGTCAAGGCGCTGCTGCCGTGTGTTGGGCCAGTGTTGACGCGGAACCAGGAGTCAAAGTCGTGTGCTGGCGCTACATCTGCTACATCTGCTACATCCGTGCTCTGCCATATGTTGCGTGTGCCGTCCAGCACACATCCTAGCACAGGGCTCGGATTGGCCACCCAAGCAGGCACCAGCGAATCTGTAGCAGAGGCGCGGTTGAATTGCATGACTGTAGCTCTGGCTGGCTGGAGCCTGCTCCGGCTGTAGCAGCCATCTGCAGCATGCAGCTGAGGCGTGTGGCCGTCTGGGATGTGAGCAGCTGTAGCACACCACTCGTGAGCAGCTGTAACACAGCCAGTGGGACCCTCTGGGCTCTTCCGCTTCGTCCCAGCACCATCCGCCGCACCGGCATAGGTGCGACCGCTGCTGCTGACGAGGTTGTTGATGAAGCCATTTGTACCCATGAGGCTGCTCATGTTACTGTACACCCCGGTGATGCCAGCAGCAGCAGTAGCAGCAGCAGCAGCAGCACCATCCCTCAGAGCAAACTCGGGGTCACAGAAGCCACCACTGCGGCTCCTCTCCCGAGCAAAACCGGGGTCACAGCCATCGTCCCTTCCTCCCATGCTGCGCCCCCGGACACCTCTCCCACCGGCCAGTCGCAGCGCGCCGGTTGAGCCGTAACTCGGAGCGTAGTTGAAGGGAAGGACACCCTCCCTGGCGTCTGGCGGAGCCGAGGGAGCTGGGAATTCGTGCTCCTCTGCTTCCTCTTCCTGCTGCTGCTGCTGCTGCTGCTGCTGCTGGTGTCGTTGCTGCTGCTTCTCCTGCTGCTTCTCAATCTGCTTCAGCACCCCCAGGAGGGCGATCAGCTGCTGCCGCTCCTCCTCGTCATCCCCCACCATCTGCAGCCTTGCAGCCACTTTGGTCGAAAAAAACGCCCTTTCTGCCCCTGCTGGTGCTGCTGCAGATAATCGGCAGAGCTGATCACAGGCAGAAGCCGCTTTGTCCTCTTTAACGAGCAGACACGCCTCGTTTGCCACGTGTTCAATGCTTGTAACAGGTACAGTGCCGAGCCGAGCAGTGCTGTCCGCGTGGTGTGGCTCCTGATGTGCGGCAAAACCCGCGAGCGGCGTGCTTGGAGCAGTCTCGAAGTGTGTCCGATGTTCCGCGCAGCCTGCAAGCTGCGTGGAAGGCGAGTGTAGCGATGTAGACGGGGGTGCACTCCTCGCTGCACTCCTTGCTGCTGTTGACGGGTTTGCGCAGCCACGAGGCGAATGAAACGAGCCGTGCAGCGAGGCGTGCATGGAGGCATGTAATGAGGAGCGTATGGAGGGCAGTGCGTCGCATGAGCTGATGGTGCGCGGGGAGGGGAGGTCATCCATGGCGCACAACAGCGCGCCGAGTGACTCGGAGGGGCTGCCCGCCATTAACACCAACCACTGCCTGGCAGGCGCCGTTGCTCACTCGGATTCCTTTGTGTCTCTTACTTCTTGAGGAGCCCCGTCGACCGTGTCCGTCGGTGCAGGTCTTGGGGTGCAGCCGGTTGGAATGTGCGAAACGGGGTTCTTTCCAGCCTAGAGGTCGGGATGCTTGGGAAGGGAGCCTTGCAATAGCGCGGAGGCGGGTGGAGCGGTGAGGAGAGAGATCGGAGTGGTGGGTGGCCTTCCGAAGCTTGTAAGGTTGCGGGTGAGCGGGAGTCTTAGGGACTTGTGGTCTTGCGATGTGCTCAAGCGGGTGGGAGAGCACTCAGAGTCTCACAGAGTGATTACGGAGTCTCAAGGATATGGAGCAACTACGGAGTGTGTCGCTGTTATCTCGAGGATCGAGACGCGGCTAGGTTCTACTCGTACTAGGCACCAAGGGCCCCCGGGACGGATCGTCAGACGGACGTAGATGGTTCAGAAGGGAACATCGAACGGCTGAGATTGCTGCGCCACGCCATGCCAACTCATAAGCTTGAGCGCGAGAAGCTCGAGCGCGAGAAGGGGGCGATCTTGGAGATTCTGGGGACGCAGCGTCACGTGCAGCGGTTGACTTATTTGGTGGGCAGGGAGCGGCCATAACGTGGCGGCCAGACTCCCACACTCAACGCGACTAGCACTGGCGTTAGACTCCCACAGTAGTACTGTACTGTGTTGCATCGGACCGCGCGTCCCCGCCCTTGGCGTTACTACTATAGTACTGCCGGTGCTTCGCGGGAAACTACGCGTCGGACGTACTTCCTTCCTTCCGTCGTCGTCGGAATTCCAGACGCACGGATCGTGCGACGACGCACGACCATTGGGTGGCGCGTGCGACACACGGACTCTGAGTGAGAGTGACCCGCAATGCATCGCGTTTCTCACTGACTGCTTGGAAGCTGAGCTGGAAGGCTTTACCGCGCGGATCTTGAATTGGTACCTCCTACTACCCAGTAATATCATATAATATATATTTCTGTGACGGATAAACAAAATCGACTGCAGTGGCTAAGCTGTCAGTTGATAGCACGTGACGGAACGATGACGGCAAATGATTTACACGTACAGTACAACCGTACCGTCGCCCACTGTCCGAGTGGCGAGTGGATAAAGGACACGCACTACTAACTACTGTACACGCGTTTGCTCGGGCTGATCGCGAATCGCGGTCCGCTGCTCTCTGTTCTCGCAGCTTCCTCTCAAAGGCTCTCTGTCGGGTCTGGTTACAGCACTTCGTGACATTCGTACGGCTTCGGTTCCGGCTGGTTCCATGCGACGAAACTGAATGCAGCAGGCAACTTTCGCACCGACAGAATCTCATCCGGCGGGAATGCGAGCAGACCTAGGGTTGAGCACATGGTAATACCTCAATGACCATAAAGACTACAGTTTGAATTCTACGAGTTATATCGGACTATTCTTCTGTACCGTGTGGGGGGACACACATGATGAGACGCTTTTCTAAGGCTTTTCATAGGGATGTCCCGGCACACCGCAATAAAGCACATAAACGCATTCAACCGAAATTTACCGCCTGAAATGACCGCCCCTTCTTCGGACATGGGCCTTACGGAAACACGGAGCCACGAAAGCTGGCGAAGACGCAAATTGCTCTAGCGAGGCTGTTGTCTCCAATGACGACTGCTGGCGAAACTGCTCGCTCGCTGGATGGCGCACGAAAATGTTTATCGCAAGTTACAGATGGCATGTGCTCGCACGTGATTCGGTTGTGAGAGATCTGTTGAGAGCACCAAACAAAATCCAGCAGGCAGCTCTCCTGGAGGACCAAGCGGTCCCAGTGTGTACAGTGTTGAATCTTGCGATTCCCTCGGAAATCCCCTCATCGCACAATATCCCAACGAACACCGAGCAATACCGGATCTGTAATAACGAACCATGCCCGCCGTTACACCATATCCATTGTCGAGTACAAGACGTACACGTCCTGTGATAATAACAGCTGGATACACCTCATTGTATATCTTGAATGGTATGTCGTAATCGAGTGAACACTACCAAAGGATCAATGTGAAGCGACGTTTCAAAGAAGCATGACAAAACCGAGCCCTTTCTGACCTCATAATGCATGTGACATTAGTTGACCTCTTGAAAAAGATCTTAATCATTAGTTGTTGAATTCATCTCAACAAACATCTATGGGCACAACAAATGCCATCTTTGAAACTGTGTTACACAAACCCAGGCACACACACACGCGTGCACGCGCGCACACACGCACGCGTGCACGCGCACACACACGTGCACACGCACACGCACACGCACACACCCACACGCACACCGAGCAATACCCCCCCCCCCCCCCACACACACACACACGCACACACACACACGCACACGTGCGCACACTCACTCACACACACACACACACACACACACACACACACACACACACACACACACGCACACACAAGCAAAACGCATTCGCAACAAAAGTAGACAAGCACACATGCACAACCAAGCACTCTCAACTCAACCCATGCCAACAAATATATGGGAGGAGGAGCATCACGAAGGCAAGGATAGGGAGAATGAGGAAGACACAGAACAAGTATCGACACGTCACTTCCCTACACTCACTCTCATCTCTGCCGCTTTACACCCTCCACACTTACTCCCTCCCCCTCTTCCGCCCCAGGCTCAACTGTCGAGCCTTTTCGGCCACATCCGACCAGAACTTATCTCCAGATCCTGGCTCCCTTGCCGCTGCCGCTGCCGCTGCCGCTGCCGCTGCTGCTGCACCACCACCTGCCATGCCTGCAGTGCTTGTAGCCACGCTACCAACTGCCGTTCCCTGAACCACACCACCTGAGCTGCCGCCACCCATGATCCCCTCAGGCTTGGGCTCTGCTCCACCAGTCAGCTCGCCCTTGCCCTGGCTGCTGCCCCCTCGCATCACCCCCACCCACCCGCGCCTCCTCAGCTTCTCGTACTTGCGCGCCACGCATGGCAGCAGCCTCGGAATCACGGTCGGAAGCGCGTGGCCTGCTGCGTTGATGGTCTCGCCTGCCCTGTGCATCCTGTCGCCCGCCCGGAGTATCTGGCCCTCCATCTGGGACCTCCCCTCCTGGACCCTCTTCAGCCACCCCTGTGCTGCTTCCAGCAGGCTTCCACCATCTCTGGACTCACTCCCAGCAGCAGCAGCAGCAGCGCCTGGGTTGGAGGCTGGTTTGCTGAGGCTGCTCGTTCCACCCCACTTAGGTCCCAAGAGTCCTTGGAGTGGCTGCTGCTTCTGCTCTTGCTGGTGATCCACCTCCTCCTGCTGCCCTCCATCCCCTGGCTTGCTCATTTTCAGCTGGGGCAACGGAGTGATGCCCACATCATCATCATCATCCCCATCACCATCACCATCCTCACCAGCATCATCAGTCCGGCTCTGAGCAAGCTCCCTCAGAACAGCAGCTAGCAGCGCATCCTCCTCCTCCTGCTCTCCTACCCCATCTCCTGCTCCTTCCCCTGCTCCCTCCCCTCCTCCCCTCTCTCCTCCCCCCCCCCCTCCCTCCACTCCTTCCTCCGCCTCATCCTCCTCCTCCACCTCCCCCCAGTTCCCTTGCAGCAGCTCCAGCTCCCTCGCCCGCACTCGCTCCAGCTCCCGCTCTCGCACCTGCACTTCCTCCCTCAGCCTCTCGATCACAGCAGCAGCATACGCGCCTGCCTGCGCTCCCCCCCACGCCGCCCCCCTCCTCCCTCCATTCTCCGCGCTCGTCTCTCCGCCCACCCCCCCTGCGTCATCCGACTCCCCTCTGAGCCGCCTTGCTTCGCCTTGCAGGAACGCCAGCAGCCCCCCGGCCCGGTCCTGCCCCCTGACCTCCTCTTTAGTCCCTTCAAGATCCCCCACATTGCCATCACCCCCCTTCTCCTCCTCTTCCCCTTCTGATTCTTCCTCCTCCGCCTCCTCCTCCACCCCCACCCTCCCATAGCCATCCTCATAATTTAAACCCCTCTGCCCAAAAGCCCCTTCGCCCTCCTCCCAAAGCCCCTCCTCCAAGCCCCACGCACCCAATTCCCTCTCTTCCGCCTCCCTCTCTCTCTCCCTCTCCCTCTCCCTCTCCTCCTCCTCCCTCCACGCAACAGCCAACTCAGCACCCGGCCGGGGCAACGCTTCCAGCACCCCTCTCCTCCGCACCACCCCCCACTGCCCCACCCTCCTCGCCCTCCCTGCTGACGTGGCCGCGGCAATCCCAAGGGAGATTCCAACAAGGCCGCCCAGACTAAGAGTCATGGGGTGCAGGAGGAAGGAGGAGAGGCGGGCCATCCTCCCCACCACGCCTTCTATGGCTTTAGCGCCACCAGTGGCCACGCGAGTCAGAGCCCGAGCCTGGTTGATTGGCTGCAGAGCCAGGTTCTGATTCGGCTGGTTCCAGGCCTGCTGACCCTGCTGTGCGTCGGCCTGCTGCTCTGGCTGGGAGTCAGGCTCGGCAGCCAGGTTCGGCACGGCCTGGTCCGGAGCAGCTTGGTCCGGAGCAGACTGGTCCGGAAACGAGTGTAGCAGAGAGGCTTCAAGCGGGGGAACGGGCGGGGAGGGCAGGGAGTCAGGGGACTGCGGGGAGCGGTCCTGACCCTGACCCTGGATAGATAGAGGCTGGAGTGGGGAGGGTTCTGCTGAAGAGAGCTCATCTGGGGAAGGTTGGACTGAGGAGGGCTGATTTGAGAGGGAATCTGCAGGCTCCGGTGCTGATGTGGGTGCAGTGATGGAGTCAGGGGATGCATGAGCAGCAGAGGAGTCAGCAGCGCCATTGGCAGTCGTAGTAGCAACGGAGGCGTCAGCAGAGGGATTGTCAGTGTCAGCAGCTGCGGCAGCAGTGCAGTCATAAGTGGAAGCAGCAGCAACAGCTGCAGTTACAGCAACCGTGGCGGTGTCAGCAGCAGGTGCATCCACCGCAGCAGCAGCGTCAGCATCTAAAGTGTCAGCAGCAACAGCACTGGTAGCATTAGTACCAGCAGCAATAGCATTGGTAGCATTAGCGTCAGCAGCAACAGAGTTGACCGAGTCAACGGAGTCAACAGATGCAGCAGTGTCAGGTGCATTAGCAGCATCGGTTTCAGAGTCAGCAGTCTCAGCAGACCTGGCAGCAGTGGCGCCAGGTGAGTCAGGATCGGTTAAGTCAGCAGTCAAGGTGGCTCCATCGCTGACGTCAGCAGCACCATCGGCAGTGGCAGCAGCATTAGAAGCAGCAGCAGGGGGCATATCTACGGTATCAGCAGGTGCATCATCATTAGGCAACGCAGTTGGCGCCTCACCCTCGCTTTCCTTACCCGTGGCAGGCGCCTCAGAAATACCCTGATCGGTGGTAGCAGTCACACCCGCACTCTCCCCTTCCCCCTCTCCCTGCACCTCACCACCCTCACTCACGCTACCGCCATCACCTTCCCCCTCACTCTCTCCCTCACTCTCCACCTCTTGCCCAAATATTTTCCTCCTGACCGGCGGCCTGCCCACCTCCCAGTCATTCTGCCCGACCTGCCCGCTCGTGGGGCTTTCCCCATCCGAGTCTTCCGCTTCCCCCACCACCGCCCCTCCCCCCATCACTGCGATTTCCGGCTGCTGGCAGTAGGAAGGAAGATGCTTGGAAGCTTCATTCGCGGGGGAAGGGGAGTGGGCGGAAGCGGAGAAGGGGGAGGGGGAAGGGGAGAAGGGATGTGCGGAGGAAAAAGGCGCAGCGGCGGGGCCCTGGGCGGGAGTGAGGGGGTGGGGGAGGAGGGAGGAGGGGGAGGAGGAAGGGGTGGGCGCGTTGGCGGGGATTAACGCGGGGAGGGGATCGGCGGAGAAGGGGGAGGGGAAAGGAGAGGGGGAGAAGGCGGAGGGCGGGAAAACCTGTTGCTTCTGCTGCTGCTGCTGCTGCTGCTGCTGCTGTAGTAGCTTGGCGTTGTGGTGCTGAGCTGCGAAAGGCTGGTTAGAAGGTGCAACGGCGAGGGGGAAGGCAAACGGTTCCACTTCAACGTCCTCGGCCAGGTGTTGGATGCTCGCTACCACCTCCTTCTCCCGCCCCTGGTGGCAACGGCCCTGCGAGACGACTATCCGCGCCGCCATCTTTAACTCAGTCACCATCTGCGCCCACTGCGCCGCGGCTTCCGCTTCCGCCTCGCGCTCCCCCTCCGCGGAGCCCGCCGCAGCAGCCGCTTTGGCAGCGGCAGCAGCCGAAGCGGCCGCTAGGGTTGCTGCGCTTCCCCGCGCTCCGCCCTTACCCCCGCTCGCTCTGCGCCCCTGCCGCTGTGGCGCGCGTAACTGGTGCATCTGCTGCTGCGTCTTCTGTTGTTTCACCTGAAGTTTCTCCTGAAGCGTCTCTTCACACTGTAGCAGCTGGTCCAGGTGCCACTCCAGCATCTCCAGGGCGTCGCGGAGGGCAATCAGCATCCGCGCCTCGGCGCTTCCCTGCCCGGATTGAATGTTTTCGTCCTGCCCGGCCTTCCGGGCAGACTCGACATGTTTTTCATAGGCGCGCTGGTAGGAAGACGAGGGGGAACTTGAGTTGCTGCCGGAGCCGTGAGACTTATCCCCGCTATTAGCATCTTTGGTAGAAGTGTTCTCATCCGATAGCCTGTCCGTAAAAAAAGAGAGCGCGGTGTAGAGTGGTGACGAGAAGCGGGAAATTTAGGCGAAACACACAGAAAGGGTAGAAGCACAGCGACGATGAGACGATAACGAAAGCGAGTTGCGGGAAACATACACACGGCGGAAGGTGCAATGGTAGCAGTGGATTGCTGGGCCAATAAATCACAAAGCCAGTGTAGGTGCTAAGTGAGACTGATGCCGGGTGAACTCGACGCATTGTGATAACGAAGCTTGATAAAATAAGAAACAAATTAAGATCTTAAAGTGCTCGTGCAGAGCCGCTACATCTCTCCCGTACCGAGAAGCCACCAGTGGGCCAGAGGGCGAAGATCCCGCGGAAGCGCAATCCGCGGCGGCACCGGCGGCGGCGGACCCGGCGGTGGAGGAGGTGGAGAGAAAGAAGTCGCACTGGAGGCTGCGCTCGATCGCGTCGCTCACTTCCTCGTGCAGCTCGCCCACGCGATTCAGCAGCGCTGGTAACGAAGGGGATTGTAACGAAGCATCCGCCATAGTCACCGTTTGTTACACTGCGCTGGCACGGCCCACTACGGCTGCACTGACAATATGTGTTTCTAAAAACCGAAGGAACGTGATATAGCTTTTGTGGTCTATGACGCTACTGGACAGTCACTAGACTCTAGCCATGGAGAGCCTAGGCGACACCATGCTTGCTGAATACTGTTTCTCGAACTTGGGTAGGGCAGAAAACATGGAGCACAAGTTGCCCGCTACCGACCAGCATTCCCCCACATTTGCCCCAGACTCCCAGGCTCCGCTCCGCACGCGCTGCTTCCCCCTCCCCCCCACAGCTTTCTTGACGGCCGGCGGAAACCAGGTGCGTGCGGGGCGGGGAGGGAAAGGGGCCGCCACAAGTGACTGGAAGGGGGGCCCGGGGAAGATAGGGCAGAATCAAGGTGACGCCTCGGGATTGGCTCACGTCGCCTCCGGGCGAAGCAGGCTGGGTGGGGAGAGGAGTCAGGGAGGTTGGCGGGACGGGGAGCGGGTGACGGGGGGTGGAGAGGACACATATGTGGCTCGTGTCTGCTCCCTTGATCGTGCCAAAGGATCTTGTAGCGAGGCTGCAAAATGGAGGTTTGGGCACCGTTATTACCCCACGCTCTATGGAACGTAAATCATGGACAACAAATAAGGCTTCTACACTTGCAAGCACTGAAAATGCTAGGAACGAATTTGATCTCCACATGCTTGAATCTATGTTATGGACAAATGCAATCCCCAAACCCTCGTGATTTAAACATGTCCTCAATAGGGTACTCCATGTATGAGAGGATTTAAACACCACGCAATGTGTAAGCCATGAGGGGTGGCGGCGTATAGGAGACGAGCTTTGAATATAAGTACCGGTAACTTCTAAATGTGTTTGATAATATTTTTCTGCCTAACACTGAGCCACCCATCCATCCATGAGTCCAGCATACACTTCTGAGGGCTCCAGAAACAATACGCTGTTGTGTTGCATATGGTACACACATACAAGTTTCCTGTACACATCACATTCTGTAAAGCGGTGCTATAAAGGCAATGGTTGCAAGGGTGCCCTCATATCAGCCTGACCCTGGGCCACCCACCCATCCATGAGTCCAGCGCACACCACTGAAGGCACCACATGAGGCACATTCACGCCATAGTCACCTCCAAACAGCTCCGCCTCCCTCTTGACCACCTCCTCCGCCTCCTCTGCTCTCCGTGCATCCTCCACTGCTGCCTGTGCCACCGCCCACCCCCCCAGCATCACATCCAACCCCGGCCCCTCCCCGAATCCTGCTGCTGCTGCAGAATCTGTCAAGGTGTTGAGTGCACCAGAACCCTGCACCAGCATGGGGAGGAACGGACAAAAGGCAACGTCCCGGGGGATGCTTTTGAGTTGAAAAAATCCATAGCCCTGCAGCAGGACTGGGAGCAATGAACAACGAACATTTTATGAGGAGGCGCAGGGCAGCATGGCTCAGGCGGCATGGCTCTTGGGCGACATGGCTCTTGGACAGCATAGCTCTCGGGCGGCATGGCTCTCGGGCAGCATGGCTCTCGGGCAGCATGGCTCGGGCGGCATGGCTCTTGGACGGCATAGCTCTCGGAAGGCATGGCTCTCGGGTGGCATGGCTCTCGGGCGGCATGGCTCTCGGGCGACATGGCTCTCGGGCGGCATGGCTCTCGGGCGGCATGGCTCTCGGGCAGCATGGCTCTCGGGCGGCATGGCTCTCGGGCGGCATGGCTCTCGGGCAGCATGGCTCGGGCGGCATGGCTCTTGGGCGACATGGCTCTTGGACAGCATAGCTCTCGGGCGGCATGGCTCTCGGGCAGCATGGCTCTCGGGCAGCATGGCTCGGGCGGCATGGCTCTTGGACGGCATAGCTCTCGGAAGGCATGGCTCTCGGGTGGCATGGCTCTCGGGCGGCATGGCTCTCGGGCGACATGGCTCTCGGGCGGCATGGCTCTCGGGCGGCATGGCTCTCGGGCAGCATGGCTCTCGGGCGGCATGGCTCTCGGGCGGCATGGCTCTCGGGCAGCATGGCTCGGGCGGCATGGCTCGGGGGCATGGTTCGGACGGCATGGCTCTCGGACGGCATGGCTCTCGGGCGGCATGGCTCTCGTGCGGCAAGGCTCGGGCAGCATGGCTCTCAGGCGGCATGGCTCTCGGGAGGCATGGCTCTCGGGCGGCATGGCTCTCGGGCAGCATGGCTCTCGGACGGCATGGCTCTCGGGTGGCATGGCTCTCGGGCGGCATGGCCCTCGGGCGGCATGGCTCTCGGTGATGGCTCGGGTTCATAGCCCGGAAGGCACTCGGGTGGCATGGCTCGGGCGGCATGCCTCGCGGACGGCATGCCTCGGGCGGCATGGCTTGGGCGGCATTCCTCGAGTGGCATGGTTTGGGCGGCATGGCTCGGGCGGCATGGTTCTCAGGCAGCATGGCTCTCGGGCGGCATGGCTCTTGAGCAGCATGGCTATCGGATGGCATGGCCCTCAGGCGACATGGCTCTCGGGCAGCTTGGCTCTCGGGCAGCATGGATCGAGTGGCATGGCTCTCGGGCTGCATGGCTCTTGGCGGCATGGCTCTCGGGCGGCATAGCTCTTGGGCAGCATGGCTCTCAGGCAGCAGGGCTCGGGCGGCATGGTTCACCTGGCATGGCTCGGGCGGCATGGCTGTCGGACGGCATGGTTCTTGGGGGGCATGGCTCTGGGGCGGCATGGCTTTCGGGCGGCATGGCTCGGGGCGGCATGGCCCGGGCGGCATGGTTCGGGCGGCATGGTTCAGGCTGCATGGTTCAGGCGACATGGCTCTCGGGCGGCATGGCTCTCGGGCGGCATGGCTCTTGGGCGGCGTGGCTCGTGGTCGGCATGGCTCTCGGGCGGCATGGCTCTCGGGCAGCATGGCTCTCGGGCGGCATGGCTCTCGGGCGGATGGCTCGGGTGACATGGCTCGGGCGGCAAGGCTAGGGCCGCAAGCCTCGGGCGGCATGGCTCGGGCGGCATAGCTCGGGCGGCATGGCTCGGGCAGCATGGCTCTCGGACAGCATGGCTCTCGGAAGGCATGGCTCTCGGACGGCATGGCTCTCGGGTGGCATGGCTCTCGGGCGGCATGGATCTCGGGCAGCATGGCTCTCGTGCGGCATGGCTCTCGGGCGACATGGCTCTCGGGAGGCATGGCTCTCGGGCGGCATGGCTCTCGGGTGGCATGGCTCTCGGGCGGCATGGCTCTCGGGCGGCATGGCTCGGGCGGCATGGCTCTCGGGCAGCATGGCTCTCGGGCAGCATGGCTCTCGGGCGGCATGGCTCTCGGGCGGCATGGCTCTCTGGCGGCATGGCTCGAGCGGCATGGCTCTCGGGCGGCAAGGCACTCGGACGGCATGGCTCTCAAACGGCATGGCTCTCGGGCGGCATGGTTCTCGGGCGGCATGGCTCTCGGGCAGCATGGCTCTCGGGCAGCATGGCACTCCTGCAGCATGTCTCTCCGGCAGCATGGCTCGGGCGGCATGGCTCAGTGGCATGATTTGGGCGGCATGGCTCTCGGACGGCACGGCTCTCCGACGGCATGGCTCTCGGGCGGCATGGCTCTCGGGCGGCATGGCTCTCGGGCGGCAAGGCTCTTGGGCGGCATGGCTCTCAAACAGCATGGCTCTCGGGCGGCATGGTTTTCGGGCGGCATGGTTTTCCGGCGGCACGGCTCTCGGGCAGCATGCCTCTGGGGTAACATGGCTCGGGGGCATGGCTCAAGGGCATGGTTCGGGCGGCATGGCTCTCGGGCGGCATGGCTCTCGGGCGGCATGGCTCTCGGACGGCATGGCTCTCGTGCGGCATGGCTCTCGGGCGGCATGGCTCTCGGGCGGCATGGCTCTCGGATGGCATGGCTCTCGGGCGGATGGCTCTCGGACAGCATGGCTCTCGGGCGGCATGGCTCTCGGGCGGCATGGCTCGGGCGGCATGGCTCGGGCGGCATGGCTCTTGGGCGGCATGGCTCTCGGGCGGCATGGCTCTCTGGCGGCATGGCTCGGGCGGCATGGCTCTCGGCATGGCTCTCTGGCAGCATGGCTCGGGCGGCATGGCTCAGGGGCATGGTTCGGGTGGCATGGCTCTCTGGCGGCATGCCTCTTGTGCAGCATGGCTCTTGTGCGGCATGGCTCTCGGGCGGCATGGCTCTTGTGCGGCATGGCTCTCGGGCGGCATGGCTCTTGTGCGGCATGGCTCTCGGGCGGCATGGCTTTCGGGCGCCATGGCTCGGGCGGCATGGCTCGGGCGGCATGGCTAGGGCGGCAAGGGTCGGGTGGCAAGGCTCGGGCGGCATGGCTTGGGCGGCAAGCATAGGGCGGCAGGGCTCGGGCGGCACAGCTCGGGCGGCATGGCTCGGGCGGCATGGCTCTCGGGCGGCATGGCTCTCGGGCGGCATGGCTCTCGGGCGGCATGGCTCGGGCGGCATGGCTTGGGCGGCAAGCCTCGGGTGGCATGGCTCGGGCGGCATGGCTTGAGCGGCATGGCTCTCGGACGGCATGGTTCGGACGGCATGGCACTCAGACGGCATGGCTCTCGGACAGCATGGCTCTCGGATGGCATGGCTATCGGACAGAATGGCTCTCGGGCGGCATGGCTCTCAGACGGCATGGATCTTGGGCGGCATGGCTCTCGGCGGCATGGCTCTCGGGCGGCATGGTTCCCAGGCGGCATGGCTTGGGCGGCAGGGCTCGGGCGGCATGGCTCGGGCGGCATGTCGTGGGCGGCATGGCTCTCGGGCGGCATGGCTCTCGAGCGGCATGGTTCTCAGAGGCATGGCTCTCCGACGGCATGGCTCTCGGGCAGCATGGCTCTCGGGCGGCATGGCCCGGGCCGCATGGCTCGGGCGGCATGGCTTGGGCGGCATTCCTCGGGCAGCATGGTTTTGGGCGGCATGGTCCTCAAACAACATGGCTCTCAAACGGCATGGCTCTCGAACGGCATGGCTCTCGAACGGCATGGCTGTCGGGCGGCGTGGCTCTTGGGCGGCATGGCTCTCGGACGGCATGGCTGTCCGGCGGCATGGCTCTCGGGCGGCATGGCTTGGGGGGCAAGGCTCGGGCCGCAAGGCTCGGGCCGCAAGCCTCGGGCCGCAGGCCTTGGGAGGCAGGGCTCGGGCGGCATGGCTTGGGCGGCATGGCTCTCGGGCAGCATGGCTCGGGCGGCATGGCTCGGGCGGCATAGCTCGGGCGGCATGTCTTGGGCGGCATGTCTTGGACGGCATGGCTTGGGCGGCAAGCATCGGCCGGAAGGGCTCGGGCGGCAGGGCTCTCGGGCGGCATGGCTCTCGGGCGGCATTAGTCTCGCGGCGGCATGGCTCTCAGGCGGCATGGCTCTCAGGCGGCAAGGCTCTCGGGCGGCATGGCTCTCGGACGGCATGGCTCTCGGGCGGCATGGCTCTGGCGGCATTGCTCTCTGACCGCATGGCTCTCGGGCGGCATGGCTCGGGCGGCAGGGCTCGGGCGGCACGGCTTGGGCGCCATGGCTCGGGCGGCATGGCTCTCGGGAGGTAAGGCTCTCGGACGGCATGGCTCTCGGGCGGCATGGCTCGGGCGGCATGGTTCGGCCGGCATGGCTCTTGGGCGGCATGGCTCTCGGGCGGCATGGCTCTCGGGCGGCATGGCTCGTGTGGCATGGCTCTCGGCTGGCATGGCTTGGGCGGCATGGCTCGCACGGCATGCCTCGGGCGGCTTGTTTCGAGCGGCTGGCCTCGAGCGGCTGGCATCGAGCTGCTTGCCTCGGGCGGCTTCCCTCGGGCGGCATGCCTTGGGGGGCATGCCTTGGCCGGCATGCCTCGGCCAGCAAGGCTTGGGCGGCATGCCTTGGCCGGCATGGCTCGGCTGGTATGGCTTGGGCGGTATTCCTTGGGTGGCATTGCTTGGGCGGCGTGGCTTGGGTGGCATGGCTTGGCCGGCATGGCTTGGGCGGCATGGATTGGGCGGATGCCTTGAGCGGCATGGATTGGGCGGATGCCTTGAGCGGCATGCCTTGGGCGGCATGCCTTGAGTGGCATGCCTTGGGCGGCATTGCTTGGGCAGCATGGCTTGGTCGGCATGGCTTGGGCGGCATGGCTTTGGCCGGCATGCCTTTGGGCAGCACGCCTTGGGCGGCATGGTTTGGGCGGCATGGCTTGGGCGGCATGGCTTGGGCGGCATGGCTTGGGCAGCATGCCGTGATGTGACGTAAGCAGCACCATGCCGGGGTACAAATGAATGGTTTCAGTGGCAGGGAGCGCATCTGGTAGAGCAGGCACAAGGGCAGCTACAGCGCGCACAGTGGAAGCTACAGATGCTGATTCGTTAAGCCTTCCAAGGGGAATCACCTGCAGCTCCAGCGGCCATGCTCCCTCCATGCCCATTCTCCTGCCTGCCTGTCGGCCCTCGCCTCTCACTGAAGCAAGGGTGTTGCCTGGGATGAGGGAGGGTACTGATGCCAGGTAGCTGGTGGGCGGTGGGGGGAGAGAGAAGGGGGAGGGAGAGGGGGAGAAGAAATTTCGTTGGGCACTTTGACGAGCAGAATGACATATCCTGTTCCAACTCTAGATATCAGAATGGTGTGGCCTGGTGTGGCATGGTGTGGGGTGTCACCTGCGGTAGAACTTTCACGAAGTGCCATCCAAGCAAGCATGCGTCACACCAGGTCCAACGCACTCGCCTCCCCTCCATCTTCCCGAAATGCACTCTTTTCCACATCAGTACTCAATGCCAGGTTTGCAATCCCCAAAAGCACCAGTCCACTCACCTGCGGTAGAACTCCCACGAAGTGCCATCCAAGCACGCATGCCCCAGGTCCAACGCACTCTCCTCCCCTCCATCAGTCCTCAATGCCGGGTAAGCGGCCCTGAAACCTCCCATGCTGCTGCTGGCACCACCAGTATCAGCAGCAGCAGCAGCAGCAGCAGAACCCAACGCAGCAGCACTGGTGGCTCCTGAAGGAGTGAGTGTGTGCAGAAAGACATACCCACACTCCTGCAACTCCCGAACCCAATCCTCCGCCCGAAACACCTCCCCGCCTCTCCAACCACCCACACCCCTACCACCACGCCCCCCCACACCGCTCTGCACACCTCTCCCTTCCTGCACACCCCTTTCGCTCCCCTCCCTCCCCACACCAACACCCTGACTTCCACCCCCCCTGCTGTGTTCAGGGTATACTCGCACTGCTGTGACCCCCCCTGCGGCGGCTGCCCCCTCCCCCAGCAGGCGATCGAAGGAGGTGAGCTTGAGGGAGGATGGTGGGGGAGAGGGGCGGGAGGAGGGAGGGCGAGCAGGGGGAGGAGGGGATTGGGGAGGGGGAGGAGGGGAGGGGAGCCAGAGGGGTCTGGGTGGGAGGACGGGGGGGACGGGGAGGCTTTGAGTTGAGAGACGGAACCAGAAGGGATGGTGCACGGATAGGGATTAGACCGTACGAATGGGAAGCACGAGATGCAGCCAGTGAAACACTCAACCCATGAAAGGTGAGCATCTGGCACGGCAACAGGCGGAAGCAACACTCACATGTCTGAAGGGAGAAGCCTCAGGTCAATGGGAGGGGCATCCGACACATCAGGGAGAGACGCCAAGCTGGGCGACTCCGAGGACGTAGGAGTCATCCCTGCTGCTCCTATCGCCCCACCCCGCATCATGCCACCTTCCATCACTCCTCGTCCTCCTAGCCCTGTCCTCACGCCCACCCCTCCCCTCTCCCCCAGCTCCACGCCTCTCCCCGTGCCCCCATGCAGGTGGTGGTCCGAGTCCAGGTCCCAGATGGCCGGCTGCCCCTTGGACGGTTGGAAGTGACCCAGGAAGCTGGCAGCACGTGGGGAGAGAGGGAGGGATGACAGAGAAAAGGAGAACGGGTGAGGGTGAGGCAAGGGGAGCCGACGTTGACACCACAACCACCTATCACAGGTTGATGGCGCCCTGCTTGTCAGCATGAGTGGTTGCGTTACTGCAGTATTGGTGCAGCCCCTTGAACAGCTCCAATGAGTCGGTGAGACTGTAACATCTACAGGGAGTGGCGTTGCTGATGCTGCTAGCTTGCAAGACTCACAGGTTGATGGCATCTTGCTTGTCAGCATCCGTAATCGCATTACTATAATATCGGTGCAGCGACTTGAACAGCTCCTGCGAGTGCAGCGTGGTGCGCCACGTGTCGGGCTTATCCACAATCACCAGGTTATGCGCCGCCGACCCCCCGTACTGCAGTGCCAAAGCATCCCCCATGGCTATATACATCGCCTGCAGCCGCCGCCCCACGTCGCTCTTGCTGTCCAGGTGCGGCGAATCTGTCACCCCCAGCGCACACAGCTGCTGCGCCAGAGCCTCTCTCCCCAGCACATACTGGGCCACGTTGGTGCGATCCAGGCAGTCCAAGCAGTTGGTTCGCACCACCCCCTGCTGCAGCTGCGGCTGCCGCACCCACCGCCCTGAGTCTGCTGGGCCTGTGTCCTCTCTTCCACCCTTGCTGCTGGCTGCTTCTCCGCCTTTGCTTCTACCCTCATCTCCAACCTGTCCTTGCTCTACCCTGGCTCCAGCCCTCCTGCCCTCCTCCCACTGCTGCTGCTGCTGCTGCGGGTGTTGTTGCTGCTGCCGCAGTGTGTGGGAGTGCGCAGCAGTGGAGGCGTGAGGATCAACGTGTGAGAGGTCGGTCATGGGGGGTGGTGCAGCACCAGCCGCAGGAGCGGCAGCGGAGCGAGAAGAGAAGCATGTCTTGGTGGCGGCTCTGGGGAGAGTGAATGTATGGAGGGAAGGGGCGGGAGACAGGGTGCTTCTTGTGAGAAAAGACCAACATGACTGCTTCTGATTGACTCGAAAACAACAGAGGGCCTACCTGGCAAGTTGGCCTGAGTAGAAGAAGCCTGTCTTGTCGAGACACTCCCTTGCAATGGCCGCCAGTGCACCCAACACCCCCTCTGCCACACTGCCTTTACTGCTGCTGCCGCTGCTGCTACTGCTGCTGCTGCCCCCTCTTGTGCCGCCGCTGCTGCTTTCAGCGATGTTGTTGCTGCTGCCACTGCTCCTCCGAGTGTCAGTGACACGGGGAGAAAGTGGAGGAGGAGAGAGTGAGAAGGAGGAGGCGGAGGGGGAGGAGGGGGGGATGAGGGCCGAGGAGGGGAAGGAGGAAGGGGTGCTGCCAGCACTGGTGACGCTGTAGAGCGTGGTGGGAGTGCTGGTGAAACTGTTAAGTGTGTTGGGCGTGCTAGTCAGAGTGTTGAGTGCGCCGGCAGCAGCAGTGGCGACCCCCGCTGTTGTGGCGGCTGCATTCGCACTGTTTAGGAGGGGTAAGGGAAGAACAACGGAGTGGAGGGAATGGCGCGAGAGGGGATATGCATAATATATATATATATGTGTGTGTATGCTTGTAAATAAATAGTAAGCATAGACAAAGTGTGACAAGCATCAATAGCTACTGGGTTACTCAATTGTGAAGAGTAGCTGATTGATACAAATGTTAAAACGAGTCAGCTCTTGGTGTATTGTGAGAAGTCCCAGTGAATGTAGGCGAGGGAGGACTGGGGAGGCAGCATGCGGTTAAGGCACATACAGGCACACCACGGATACTCACATATTGGCATATCATTTACAACATACACCTTATGGCATAGCGAGAAAAGCCACTCACCTCTTGGCGTATCGTGAGAAGTCCCAATGGATGTAGGTGAGGGCGGACTGGGGAGGCAGCACGCGGTTGAGGTAAGTCACTGCCGTGGCGAACTCCCTCCTCAGAATCATTTCCCGAGGGTGCTTCTCAACGGTCTGCGCAAGGGAGGGGGGAGAGGAGGTCCAGAAGCGCAGTAGAAGAAAGGGGGGAGGAGAAGAGGGGGGTAAGGGAGGCAGCTCTCTGCTGGGGAAAGTCACTGCTGGGGCGAGCTCCCTGTCAGGATAATTTCACACGGACGCTTCTCAACGGCCTGCTCAAGGATGCACAATAAAGGGGGGGAGACAGGGGAGGGAAGCAAAACCTGTTGTGTCAAGAAATCTTGATGTGGACGAGAAGACGATGACGACGACGATGACGATGACGACGACGACGGCGGGGACGGAGGGATGGCTGAACGCACCTCAATGAGGTGATGATGGGCCGCTCATGAGGTGATGATGGGTGGGGAACCTTGATAAACTGCACACCGGAGACTAATGAAGCATATATAGCCATGGGGTGGCAAGTGGACGGCAAGAGAGCAGCTAGACGGCGAAAGGGCGGCAAGAGGGCGGCAAGGCGCACCTTGATGAGGTTAAGGATGATGACTGGCCGCCCGTACCGCTCCATGAGATTCTCAAAGTGCAGCCGAGACGCCGCGTACATGGGGTCATAGCGGTGCACTGCACAACCAATGGCACACAGAGGCTCGGTGAAACGACATAGGCTGGCATCCAGCTAACTTGCCTGGCGTCCAGCTCACTTGCCTGGCGCCCAGCTCACTTGCCTGGCGTCCAGCTCACTTGCCTGGCGTCCAGCTCACTTGCCTGGCGTCCAGCTCACTTGCCTGGCGTCCAGCTCACTTGCCTGGCGTCCAGCTCACTTGCCTGGCGTCCAGCTCACTTGCCTGGCGTCCAGCTAACTTGCCTGGCGTCCAGCTCACTTGCCTGGCGTCCAAATCACTTGCCTGGCGTCCAGCTCACTTGACTGGCGTCCAGCTAACTTCAAGTGCAGGCGAGCCGCCCTGGGTCTCACTTCCCTAGGTCTCACTTCCCTAGGTCTCACTTCCCAAGGTCTCACATCCCAAGGTCTCACTTCCCTAGGTCCCACTTCCCTAGATCTCACTTCCCTAGGTCTCACTTCCCTAGGTTTCACTTCTCTAGGTCTCACGTCCCTACCTAGGTCAAACTTCCCAAGGTCTCACATCCCAAGGTCTTACTTCCCTAGGTCTCACTTCCCAAGGACTCTTTTCCCGAAGTCTCACTTCTTAAGGTCTCACTACCCTAGGTCTCACTACCAGAGGTCTCACTTCCCTAGGTCTCACGTCTCTAGGTCTCACTTCCCGAGGTCCCACTTCCCTAGGTCTCACTTCCCCAGGTTTCACTTCCCAAAATCTCACTTCCCAAGGTCTCACTTCCCTAGGTCTAACGTCTCTAGGTCTCACTTCCCAAGGTCTCACTTCCCAAGGTCTCACTTCCCGAGGTCTCACTTTCCACTCACTGGATCGCTGGTCCACTCACCGGACCGCCGGTCCACTCACCTGACGGCCGGTCCACTCACGGGACCGCCGTTCCACTCACGGGACAGCCGGTTCACTCACCGGACCGCCGGTTCACTCACACGACCGCCGGTCCACTCACGGGACCGCCGGTCCACTCACGGGACCGCCGGTCCACTCACAGGAACGCTGGTCCACTCACAGGAACGCCGGTCCACTCAGGGGACCACCGGTCCACTCACCGGACCGCTGATCCACTCACCGGACAGCCCGTCCACTCACCGTACCGTCAGTCCACTCACCAGACCGCTGGTCCACTCACCATGCATCCGCCGACATGCATCCCATCCATGCATCCACTCACCACAATGCCGGTCCACTCCTCATGCATCCTCCCCCATGCATCCCCCCCCTGCATCCCCCCCCCTGCATCCCGCCCCCTTGCATCTCATCTCACTTCCTTAGTTCCCACTTCCCAAGGTCTAACTTCCCTAGGGCTCACTTCCCGAGGTCTCACTTCCCTAGGGCTCACTTCCCGAGGTCTCACTTCCCTAGGGCTCACTTCCCGAGGTCTAACTTCCCTAGGGCTCACTTCCCGAGGTCTAACTTCCCTAGGGCTCACTTCCCGAGGTCTCACTTCCCTAGGGCTCACTTCCCGAGGTCTCACTTCCCTAGGGCTCACTTCCCGAGGTCTCACTTCCCTAGGGCTCACTTCCCGAGGTCTCACTTCCCTAGGGCTCACTTCCCGAGGTCTCACTTCCCTAGGGCTCACTTCCCGAGGTCTCACTTCCCTAGGGCTCACTTCCCGAGGTCTCACTTCCCTAGGGCTCACTTCCCGAGGTCTCACTTCCCTAGGGCTCACTTCCCGAGGTCTCACTTCCCTAGGGCTCACTTCCCGAGGTCTCACTTCCCTAGGGCTCACTTCCCGAGGTCTCACTTCCCTAGGGCTCACTTCCCGAGGTCTCACTTCCCTAGGGCTCACTTCCCGAGGTCTCACTTCCCTAGGGCTCACTTCCCGAGGTCTCACTTCCCTAGGGCTCACTTCCCGAGGTCTCACTTCCCTAGGGCTCACTTCCCGAGGTCTCACTTCCCTAGGGCTCACTTCCCGAGGTCTCACTTCCCTAGGGCTCACTTCCCGAGGTCTCACTTCCCTAGGGCTCACTTCCCGAGGTCTAACTTCCCTAGGGCTCACTTCCCGAGGTCTCACTTCCCTAGGGCTCACTTCCCGAGGTCTCACTTCCCTAGGGCTCACTTCCCGAGGTCTCACTTCCCTAGGGCTCACTTCCCGAGGTCTCACTTCCCTAGGGCTCACTTCCCGAGGTCTCACTTCCCTAGGGCTCACTTCCCGAGGTCTCACTTCCCTAGGGCTCACTTCCCGAGGTCTCACTTCCCTAGGGCTCACTTCCCGAGGTCTAACTTCCCTAGGGCTCACTTCCCGAGGTCTCACTTCCCTAGGACTCACTTCCCGAGGTCTAACTTCCCTAGGGCTCACTTCCCGAGGTCTCACTTCCCTAGGACTCACTTCCCGAGGTCTCACTCAGGGCCAAAGCACTCCGGGCCAAAGCACTCCGGTCCAAAGCACCCCGGTCGAAAGCACTACAGTCGAAAGCGCTCCAGTTGAAAGCACTCCGGTCCAAAGCACTCGGGGCCAAAGCACTCCGATCAAAAGTACTCTCGACCAAATCACTACGGGCCACAGCACTTCGGTCGTAAGCACTCCGGTCCAAAGCACTCCGGTCCAAAGCACTCCGGTCGAAAGCACTTCGTTCGAAAGCACTCCATTCGAAAGCACTCCGGTCCAAAGCACTCGGGGCCAAAGCATTTCGGTCCGAAGCACTCCGGGCCACAGCACTCCGGTCAGAAGCACTCCGGTCGTAAGCACTCCGGTTGAAAGCACTCCGGTCGAAAGCACTCCGGCCCATTGAGCTCCGGTCCAAAGCACTCCGATCAAAAGCACTCCGGTCAAAAGCACTCCGTTCGAAAGAAGTCCGTCCCAAAGCACACCGGACGGAAGCTTCTGGTCCAAAGCGCTCCGGTCCAAAGCGCTCCGGTCCAAAGCGCTCCAGTCCAAAGCACTCCGGTGCAAAGCATTCCGGTCGAAAGCACTCCGACCGAAAGCACTGCGGTCCAAAGCACTCCAGTCCAAAGCACTCTGGTCCAAAGCACTCCAGTCCAAAGCACTCCGGTCGGAAGCACTCCGGTCCAAAGCACTCCGGTCGGAAGCGCTCCGGTCCAAAGGCCCCGGGGCCAAAGCATTCCGGTCCAAAGCACTCCGATCGAAAGCACTCCGGTCAAAAGCACTCTGTTCGAAAGGAGTCCAGCCCAAAGCACACCGGACGGAAGCTTCTGGTCCAAAGCGCCCCGGTCCAAAGCGCTCCGGTCCAAAGCGCTCCACTCCAAAGCACTCCGGTGCAAAGCATTCCGGTCGAAAGCACTCCGACCGAAAGCACTGTGGTCCAAAGCACTCCAGTCCAAAGCACTCCGGTCCAAAGTGAGAGAAGTAACATTAGAGAGAAAAGTGTTAACTAGAAAGGGAGCCAAGAGGCTCTTTAGTACAACCAAGGAGCAAGGAAAGGTTGGAACGGAAGGCACTCCTATTGGCTACAATAGTGGCCAATGGGAGAGGTAGCTTGGAGGGGAAGCAACCCCAAAGTGTGGTGGTTGCTGATTGGTGGAGCCTTGAGACCATTCGGTTGGAAAGTGCCAACCAAAGGACCAAGGCCAAATCCAATCTTGACCAACCAAATTGTGGTTGGTGATCCCAACCAACAACCCCCCAATAACTTAAATGTCTAAACCTCCTATTCTAGTCATGCATGTTGAATATAATAATATATTACAACACAAATCACTCCAGTCCAAAGCACTCCGGTCGGAAGCACTCCGGTCCAAAGTACTCCAGTCGGAAGCCCTCCGGTCCAAAGGTCTCGGGGCCAAAGCATTCCGGTCCAAAGCACTCCGGTTGATAGCACTACAGTCCAGAGAGCTCCCGTCCAAAGCGCTCCGGTCGAAAGTGCTCCGGTCACCACATGCACCCCATGCACCCCATGCACCCAATGCACCCCATGTATCCCATGCATTCCATGCACCCTGTGCACCCCATGCACCCCATGCACCCCATGCACCCCATGCACCCCATGCACCCCTCGCACCCCTCGCACCCCATGCATCCCATGCACTTCCCTAGGTCTCACTTCTGTAGGTCTCACTTCCCTAGGCCTCACTTCCCTGGGTCCCACTTCCCTAGGTCTCACTTCCCGAAGTCTCACTTCCCAAGTCTCACTTCCCCACGACTCACTTTCCAAGTCTCACTTCCCTAGGTCTCACTTCCCTAGGTCTCACTTCCCTAGATCTCACTTCCCTAGGTCTCACTTCCCTAGATCCCACTTCCCCAGGTCTCACTTCCCTGGCTCACACACCATGTCTCCATCGACTCACACACTACGTCTGGTCTAGCTAGGATCACACACGATGTCGGGCTTGGGGCTGAGTCTCGAGGGGGGTGGACCCCCCCACCTGCACCACACTCACCATCGCTGGGAGGGCCTTTGAGTTGACTCAAAATGCTCTGGTCAGTGGTTTACTCACACACTATGTCGGGCTTGGGGCTGAGTCGTGATGCTTCCTGCGACCAGAAGAGTGGGATGGACCCCCGCACCTGCACCACACTCGCCATCGCTGGGAGCGCCGCGGCAGAAGCCGCCCCCACTGCTGCCACCGCCACTGCTGCTGCTGCTGCCGTCGCTGCCCCTGCCGATCCAACCCCTGGTGTAGGCAGTACCTGGGAAAGGTGGTTCTTGGGACTGATGGGAGTAGCGTGGGCGGAAGTGGCGGCAGAGGGAGGAGGGACAGGCTGGACGAAGAGGAAGGGGGAGGAGGAGGCGGGGGAAGGTGGGGGCGAGATGTCAGCCTGCTGGTGCCTGTACTGATGGTGGTGGTGCTGCTGGTTCTGGTGCGAGGCGTGGGGATGGTGAAATGCCTGGTGGTGTTGAGGCAAGTGAGAGGGCGGGGCAGGTATGGAAGTCGATGCAGGGTGTAGCATGAGTCCACGGGGCAGAGCTGTCTCACGGGGTGGCACAGTCTCAACAGGCAGAGCTGCCTCGTGGTGCCCGACGGGTAAGACCCTGGCTTCGCGAGGCAAGACGGGTTCGTGGCAGTGGTCTAAAAGCACCTGCTCCACCTCCACCTCGTTTGCCACCCGCCCCCGGTCGTTCACCCCGCGCTTCAGGTACCGCGTTCCCGCGAAGTGGCGAGAGCGCCGGGCTATTAAAACCAGGGAGATGACTCGGCCGAAGATGGACATGCGCTCCTGAGGAAAGAACGTCGGGGAAAGAGAAGGGAGGAGTGGAGGGGGTTGGTCGTTCAGGTACCGCGTCCCGGCAAAGCCGCGAGAGCGCCGGGCAAATAGCACTAGCGATTTGACTTGGCCGGAGTCCAGGACATGTGAAACTGGGGCGGAGGGGTGTGTGGGGGCGTGAGGGGGAGGCGGGGAGGAGCAGGGGGAAGGAGGGTCGTTCACCCCGCGCTTCAGGTACCCCGTTCCAGCAACATGCAGCGAGGGACAGGCTACGAGGAGAAGGGAAATGACTCGACCAAACATACGAACGGCCAAACATACGAACGCCACCTGAAAAAACAGGAACCCTTCAGGACACTTGAGAGCTCACCTGTTGGAAGCAGCTGACCTGGTGGCACCTTAGAGCCCACCTGATGGCACCTGAGAGCCCACCTGAGAGCCCACCTGAGAGCCCACCTGCGTTCCCACCTGGTGGAAGAAGCCGTGCGAGAGGGCGAGCGTCCAGCGGCTGGTGCTGAGGGCGTGGCGGATGGGGCGAGTGAGAAACGCGTTCCACACAAACATGTGCTCGTGCGCCATGTGGCCGTGCAGCCTTGGCTCGTGCGCCATGACTGCAGGGAACCCTGTGCTGCCGGTGGGGCACTCAGTGCACCCTGTAACGGTACGGCAGACGTTGTCTTGTAGCGAGCGCATGATGGGGTAGGAGTGCGAGTAGAAGAAGTCTCTTGTGAGATCGACGCCTGAGAGGAGCCTCTTGTACCTGGATTGGAAGGCGTGAGAGAGACGCACGATGGGGCGAGGGCATTATGGGGCGAGGGCATTATGGGGCGAGGGCATTATGGGGCGAGGGCATTATGGGGCGAGGGCATTATGGGGCGAGGGCATTATGGGGCGAGGGCATTATGGGGCGAGGGCATTATGGGGCGAGGGCATTATGGGCCGAGGGCATTATGGGGCGACAGTCAGACAGCTTCTCCCCTCCTCTCACTGCTGGTCTCCCCTTGTCACCTCCTCTCCCCCCTCTGCTCACCTCCGCTCCATCTTGCTGCTGGCCGCGTCGGTCTGCACGGCGGCGCGCAGCACGCTGCTGGTACACCGCGTGCCCATGCATGCTGCCCACCTGCCCGTCTCTACTCTCCCCTCTGCCCGTCTCTGCTCTCCCCTCTGCCCACCTACTCTCACCTCCTTTCGCACCTTCTCACCCTCTCTCACCTCCTCTCACCCCTCATTACTTCTCGCCACTCTTCTCTCCTCTGCTCACCGCTGTTCATGTTGCTTTTAGCCATGCCGGTCTGCACGGCAGCATGCGGCACGGTGAGCACCTGGTTCGCCTCAATGCGCCACACCGCGTGTCCCCGCATGCTGCCCAGCTGCCCATCTCTGCTCCCCCCCCTGCCCACTCCTGCTCTCCCCTCTCTCGACTCCGCTCTCCCCTATGCCCTCCTTCTCTCACCTCCAATCGCCTCCTATCGCCTCCTATCGCCTCCTATTGCCTCCTCTCACCACTCACTACTTCTCTCCCCTCCTCTCACCGCTGCTCAACCGTCCTCTAGACCCCCTTCCCCCCCCTTCCTGCTCACCGCTGCTCCATGTTGCTTTTGGCCACGTCGGTCTGCACAGCGGCGTGCGGCACGGTGAGCACTTGGCTCTCCTCGATGCGCCACACCGCATGCCCCCGCATGCTGCCCACCTGCCGCCGCCGCCGCACCAGAATCAGGTACCATGGCTCGAGGAAGCGGATGCAGCCTGGAGAGTGGGTTTTGTAGAGGAGGGAAAGTTAGGGGGAGTGTGAGAAGGAGGGGGGAGGGGAGGCAACGGACAGGAGACGCACCAAGACAAGTTCAGGCACCAGGGCTCGAGGAAGCGGATGCAGCCTGGAGAGGGGGTTTCGGGTGGGGAAAGCAAGGGGCACGGGGGGAGGGGATCAGACAGCAGGCGCACCAGAATCAGATACCATGGTTCCAGGCACGGCTGCAGCCTATATGGTGGGTTGTTACGGGTGGAGGGAGCAAAGGGGAGGGTGTGGCAGGGAGGGGGAGAAGATTTCCCTCTGCTGGCTGCTGCAGTCAGGCTTTGCTCAGTGTAGTCTCATCACCCTCTTCCCTCCCTCCCTCGTCACTCATGGTCTTGGGAAGAGCAGCAGTGCGAAGTCAGTCGCTTGAGCAACAAGAACGAGAGTAAAAAATCCTAGGCAGAGATTTGCTTCGTAAAAACTCTTCACTCAAATTTACCAGGTCGCAAACATGTTTCCGCTTACGGGGATCAAACCCGCCGAGCCTTCATCAGTGCTACTGGACATAAGAGAACACGAGTCTAGGCATGAGCTAAGTAACAACCCACACCCTCCAAAACAATTCTCAAGATTATCAACTACCCAGATTGCCTATCAATGGGCATTCGCCAACACAGCAGTGGGTAAAAACCCAAGGTTGCAGGTGTCAGTCTTCAGGAGGGTCTTCTTCCAAACTGTCGATAAGCCTTGGTAACTTGGCTCGCACAAGTAACTTTTGAAGGTTACGTGCACACCTCCATGCAATGAAAATATTCCCCATATAAAATCCGCGTGTGTCTGAGACGATTTTTGAGGCGCCAGGTCGAGGAAGTCAGCCGAACTGTCTGAAATGTGCCACGTGAGCTTGATGTTTGGATCGAGCGTGTTGAAGGTGTTCAGGTACTCCTCCAATTCGCTCTTCGATCCGGGCCAAATTATTAACCCGTCGTCGATGTAGCGCACGTGGCACAATGGTGTAGTTCCAGACCACCGCCTTGAAAGAATCTCGTCCAGCCAGCGCTATTGAACTCCACGAAAGAATTCATCATGACCCATACCAGCAAGGCCATGACTGGTTGAGAATTCACGATTCTCCCTCGTTGAAGAAAATTGCCCACCGCATCGAGCCCTCGCCTTAGTGGGATGCTGGGATAGAGCGAGGTGACGTCGTACGTAGCTAGAAGTATTCCTTTAGGAAAGGCGGTCTTTTCCAGCATCAGTAGCAATGAGAGGGAGTCGCGCAGGTAGGTTGGCTGTTGAAGCACCAGTGGTCGAAGTTCCGCGTCCAACCAACGGCTAACATTCGAAGTCACCCATGAATGCGAAGCTGCGATAGGCCGCCCCGCGAGTTTCTTCTTGTGTAGCTTCGGAAGGATGTAGAACGCCGCCGGTCGCCATCCTCCGCGCGGTTTGTCAAAGAAAAATTTCCAAAGGCTCTCGGGAAAAGCAGGTCCCCACACGCTTTGCAGATCACGCAGCTTCCGCACGATGTCGGCGGTAGGATCTCGATGAACTGGAGTGTAGGTCGTCGCGTCGTCAAGATGGTCGAGACAGAGGCGAACGTAGTGACTCCGGTCCATGACAGTGATCCCGACGTTCTTGTCGGCAGGTTTCACTACCACGTGTCGATCCGCAGCGATGGAGCGCAACGCCCGTCGAACACCAGACGAGATGTTCTGATGTCGGATCGGGCGGGTTGCCTTCAACAGGAAGGACAAGTCGAATGACGAATCCTTGAAGACCTGCTCTGGAATTTGAATCCGATCAGGAAGCCAGTCGGGATTCCGCACTCGAAAGCGCGAGTCCCCCTTCCGACCGCCGTCATCCTTGAAGAAAAGTCGAAGCGAAATCTGGCGTAGGAGCTGGTCGAGCTCCACAGCACCAGACAGGGAAACGGCAGGCGTTGGAATGAACTTCAGTCCCAACCCCAGCCCCTTCTTCTCGTCCGAAGACAAGACCTTGGAGCTGAGGTTATGTACTCCCCGGTTCCGGATCCGTGTCGACAGCTGCCGCACTGTCAACCGTCCGAACCAGCGGAGCGCCAAGTCGTGACTGGTTAGTTCTTGCACGGCCCTTTTCCGGGGCCGCCTCCGCCGTTTTTTGGTCCCTTGGCCTTCTCAGATGTCTGGCCACCCGCTTGCTGGTCTTTGTCGGTGCCGTTCTTCTTTTTGTTCTTCTTACCCCCGCGTTTCTTCTTCGGCTTCGAGTCCGTTGCCGTATTAGCCGAGAGGCGCTCCTGAGGATCAGGAGTGAAGGGCTTCGACGTTCCGGCAGACGATTTCTTTTGCTTCGAGTCAACAGCGGGGGCCCGGGAGGAGTCCTGTGCTCCGAGAGAAAGATTTTTCAGCAGCTTCTTCATCAGATTGGATTCAATTTTTGGCGCGAGCTCCCTCCAAAACTTGTCTTCAATCCGCTTCGCGTGCTTGTCCATAATCTTCTCAATCCCGGTCTCGGTTTCCATGTCATGCACCTCCTCGGACGCAGCAGCCTTCTTCAATTCTTCAGCAGCTACCTTCCGCTGTCGATCCAGCTCCTTGATGACGATGTCATCTTTCGCAGCTGCGATGTCGGAATTCGCCTTCGCAATGCATCTCCCCTTGAGCAGTCGAAACTTCTCCTTGGCGGTATCAGAAACCACCAGATCGGGGTTAGTGCTCAGGCTTTGAATATAATCTTCCATCGTTGCAGCTAGAGCGGTGACGTGCGAATTCGCCGCTGTCTGCAGCTCTTCAACCTCCAGTGCCTTTGAGGCGATGAAGTCCGCCTGCAGCCGTTTCTGGTTCGCCTCGTGAATCGCGGCGACGGATGCAGCAGATTTCTCTTTAACGGGCGGAAGCTTCGTTTGGAACTCGACAGCCTTGGTGCGGATGCTGTGAAGCAAAACACCTTGAGCATCGAGATCCTTCATCTTCTTGAGCTTCTCTTTCGCCTTCAGCAAAGTCTTGAAGTCGTCGCGAAAGCTTTTGACAGCCGACTCCGTCCATCCCTTGAAAGGTTGAGGGATTGGAGAGGTGTCGGCAGCTTCCGCCATGACGCTTGGACGACTTGTCGACGGGCCGGTGGGATGAGCTTCAGCTTGCTTGCTTAGTAGAGTGGGTTCGTAGGTCAATGCCAGTGGAGGGATTCTCTTCCCAGCTCCAGATCGCCTGGCGTGTCTTGCGGAGCGTGATGATCCTCCCTCCCCACGAACGCGCTTAACCGAGCTGCGACCACTTGTACCGGCTTCTTCCTCGTCGGATGGAATCCAATCGAAGTCCCACGGGTCGTCGTCACTCATGGTCTTGGGAAGAGCAGCAGTGCGAAGTCAGTCGCTTGAGCAACAAGAACGAGAGTAAAAAATCCTAGGCAGAGATTTGCTTCGTAAAAACTCTTCACTCAAATTTACCAGGTCGCAAACATGTTTCGGCTTACGGGGATCAAACCCGCCGAGCCTTCATCAGTGCTACTGGACATAAGAGAACACGAGTCTAGGCATGAGCTAAGTAACAACCCACACCCTCCAAAACAATTCTCAAGATTATCAACTACCCAGATTGCCTATCAATGGGCATTCGCCAACACAGCAGTGGGTAAAAACCCAAGGTTGCAGGTGTCAGTCTTCAGGAGGGTCTTCTTCCGAACTGTCGATAAGCCTTGGTAACTTGGCTCGCACAAGTAACTTTTGAAGGTTACGTGCACACCTCCATGCAATGAAAATATTCCCCATATAAAATCCGCGTGAGTTGAGACGATTTTTGAGGCGCCTCAAAAATCGGCTTTGCTCAGTGTAGTCTCATCACCCTCTTCCCTCCCTCCCTCCCTCCCACCCACCCACCCACCCACCCACCGCCCCCCATCCCTCCCAAACACATGCAACCGCCCCACAGACTCACCAACGATCCCATACACGTTAGTCACGAGGTGAAGGCCCCCCGAGCTGCGGTTGCCCTCGGCTCGGCTAGCTGCAGCAGTGTAAAGGCTTTTAGAAGCGTTCCCACCTTCCCCACTCCCCCCCCCCCCCAAACACATGCAACAGCCCCCACAGACTCACCAACGATGCCATAAGCCTTGGTCACGAGGCGAAGGCCCCCCAAGCTGCGGTTCCCTGCGGCCAGCTGCTGCAGTGTTAGAGGGCTTAGATGACCAGTCCCCCACCCCGTCCCCCCTCCCTCCTCCCCTTTACCTCACAACCCCCACGGACAGACCCACCAACGATGCCATAGGCCTTGGTCACGAGGCGGAGGCCCCCCGAGCTGCGGTTGCCCTCGGCCAGCTGCTGCAGCAGAGCGGAGCACTGGCGGTCGCTGTACACCGTCGGATCCTCCACCAGCACCAGCTCCGACGGCTCAGATCGGTCGATCTTGAGAATGCGCTTCTGGTCCTTGTTCTTGCCCCGGCCCACGATGTAGAAGCGCTGGGGAAGGGTGGGCGGGGGTTGGGAGAGGGGGGGGGGAGGGGAAAAGTAGGGGGAGAGAAGAGGAGAGGGGTTTGGGGGGGAAGAGGGGGCTGGGTGTGGAGGGCGTAAAAAATTCAGGGCCAATCAAGAGCATGCACATGGCGAACACCAATCATTCACGTGCAACCCACCCACTCTCTGCCCACCGTACTGCCCAGTCTCCACCCCCCTTCCAACTCACAGACACACACCGCAGCCCAAGAGCAGCGTTGCTGGAAATCAGAATCAGAGGCAGAGCCTCCCAGGGAGCGCGAGCCTCAATTTTCCTACGTGCAACCAACCCGCTCTCCCCCCAACCCGCTCTCCCCCCAGCCCACCCCCCCATTCCCCCATTCCCCCATTCCCCCCCACAGCGCACACACACAGCAGCCCAAGAGCAACGTATGCGCTAAAATCAGAGCCTCCAGGGAAGAGGGGAGGGGAGGGGAAATGGGGGGGGGTGGTGGTGGTTGGGTGGGGGTCGTGCGCGCGCACCGCTTGGGTAATCGATGGACATTTCCTCTAGTGAGCCCCCGAGGTGGGTGGGTGGGGGTTGGCGGGTGGGGAGGGGGGTGGGAGATGGGGGAGAAGGGAGGAGGTGTGCGCGCGCACCGCTTGCGTCTCGTAGATGACGAACTTCTCGAGGCACGCATCGCTCTCCATCGCGCCGCTCCACGCGACGCGAGGGGCAGCACCACGCGAGGCGCGAAGTCTGATCGACGCTATGACTGATGGAGGGGCGCTGAAAAGACTGCTAGCCTTTCGTGCTCTCGGCACAAGAGCCGTTCCACTGTTCAGCTCGGAGTGACGGGTTGCAACGGGGGCCGCAGAGGGGCATGCCGCGCGAGTTGTTGCGTCCTGCGCGGCTCTGTCAGCCCGAATGCCGTCCTCGTTATAGGTGGAGCTCACTGAAGGGATTGCCCATCGATTGGAGTTTATTGCGGCTAAAATGTTCTTCAAAAGCTGCTACATTCGGTTGGAATTGGGAGCTTGGCGAAAGCTTGCTGCGCTCACGACACCGGGAAATGTGGTAACTCTTTTTTTCGCATTCGCACAAGCCCCTTTCCCCACCCGAACCAGCCCAAATTTGGTGAAGGAATCTCAACTCGAGTGCCCACATCTCTCACACGAGGATGAGGAGGATTCTGTAGCATTTCCCCTACATAATCCGTCGCCGTCTGTCGCCGTCTGTCGCTATTTGTCGCCATTAATCGCTCAACGGCTCTCATCGCGCGAGTGTGTATGTCACTATTCGCCGCCCCCATCGCCCGCCCCCCACCGCTCCCCTTCTCCCCACCCACTGCCCCTCCCTTCCGCTTCCCCTTTCGCCTCCGCCAATCCCCGCTCCTTCCCACCTTCCGCGTCTCCCCCTCCGCGCATCTAACCTTCCGCGCGTGGCAGCCGTTTCCCCCTATCCCCCCCCCTTCCGCCGCCTCTCTCGTGGGCGCAATCCGCATTTCCCCATCTGCCCCGTTTGGCGCATTCCGCTCGTGTCAGACCCGCCTCTCCGCTGCCGCGGAAGCAGGGAACGCAGGGGAAGCGGAAAGCGCGTGCGAATCAGTTGCTTGGGTGGAGCAGGAGATCGAGGGGAGGCATAGTGAAGAAGGAAGAGGGGAGAGAGGGGGTACAGGGTTTAGGGGAGAGGGGGGCGCAGAGGGCAGCGAGGAGGGGGGAGAAGGGGAAAGCTGGGCGGAGGCTGAGGAGGAAGAAGGGGGAGAGGAGGGGGAAGAGGGGGAAGGCGGAGAGGCGAGAGCGCGAATGGCGGCAACAGAGGAGTCGGTGGGCATAAGCTGCTACGCCAACGATCTGCCGGGCATACATGGCGTGCTGAAGCAGAGGTGAGGCGGGTGTCTCTCTCGTACCTCGCTAGCCACGATCGGCAGAGCGTTGTACCCCTCGCCCTGCCCAGCGTATGCCAACGACCTGCCGGGCATTCACGGCGTGCTGAAGCAGAGGTGAGGCGGGGCTATGCTGGGCTGGGAGCTGTAACCCTCATAAACCCTCATCCGTCCTCCTCTGCTCCCTCCCTCCCCGCCCGCCTGGCTGTGTGCCTGTCTCCATGCGTGCACTGCACTCACAGGTTCGCCGACTTCATAGTGAACGAGGTGGCGCCGGACGGCACGGTGGTGCATCTCACCCACCTGCACCTGTCCCCGGCCCTGCTGGCGCAAGAGCAGCAGCAGCAGGCGCTGGCGCGCAGGAGGGAGGCGGAGAGCCTGGGGGAGGTGGTGGACGCGGGGGCGCTGGTGGCGCAGTTCCGCCAGGCGCTGGGGGGAAGGGGCGGGGCGGTTGGGGAGAGGGAGGGGGGAGGGGGGTTGCGCGACGAGGAAGATGCCCGGAAGCTGCAGCAGTTGCTGGAGGGGATTAGGGGGATTCAGCTGTGGTGGAGGGCGAGAAAGGGAGGAGAGGAGGGGGGAGGGGGCGAAGGAGAGGGAGCAGGAGGAGGCGAGGGAGATGGGGGGGACAGGGAGGAGGGAAGCAAACAGGGAGGGGAGGGAGCGTTGGGAGAAGGAGAGGCGGAGGGCAAAGGGCTGCCTCCCGCTATGCCTGAGCCGGTGGTGTTTGCTGCCAGCGCTGACAAGGCATACCGTGCTGTGAGTGCTTTCTATGGCGAGCTTCCTGTATTTTCTGCCTGGTACAAGCTCAATCCTAACCTAACCAGACCATGCGTGCTAATCTTTCCCTTTCCTTGTCTTCCCCTGTCCCCCTCGGTCCCTTCTCTTGTCACCAACACCTCCGATGCTGTTCATCGTCCCAGAAGGCAAAGACCCCCCTCGTCCGCCTTCCCCCCTTCCCGTCCCGGTTCCAAAGGGCCTTGCACATGTTGTTCAACTCTTACCCGTACCTTGTATCCGCCCCCGTTCATGCTGTGCAAGGGCGCGAACAACCCCTCTCTTCCCCTGCATTCCCCCCGTCCCCATCCCTCCACCAGGCCATGCACGCGTTCTTCAAGGCCTTCCCCTTCCTCGTCTCCGACACCATTGACGCCGTGGAGGGCCCACCCTACCGCTGCGTGCGCCTGCGCTTCCTCCCCCCGCCCGCCCTCAACCTTGGGGGGGCAGCGGGAAGAGGCGCAGCAGGGAATGGGGCGCAGAGGGGTGGGGAGGGGAGAGGGGAGGGGAGGGGGTGGAGGGAGTCGCGTTGGGGGGGAAATAGGGGGAGCAGAGGGGGAAGGTGGGGGAAGCGGGGGCGGGGGGAGGAGTGGGAGGGTGGGGATAGGAAGAGAGCAAGGAGGGATGGTGATGGTGGTGGTGAGGGTGCTTCAAAGGATAGAGATGGGGCGGATGATAGGGGTGGTGGGGAGGGGGAGGAGGAGGAGAACGAGCAGCCAGCGTTTGACAGGAGGGGGAGGAAGGGGGCGGATGGAGTGCCGGCTACTGCCACCCGCAGATTCCTCATGTGCGTGTCTGTGTGTGTGTGACATGGGCTTTGTTCTGATGCCGAGCTCAACTTCACACATGCCACACATGCCACACGTGCCACACATGCCACACATGCCACACGTGCCACACATGCCACACATGCCACACATGCCACACGTGCCACACATGCCACACGTGCCACACGTGCCACACATGCCACACATGCCACACATGCCACACATGCCACACGTGCCACACGTGCCACACATGCCACACATGCCACACATGCCACACATGCCACACGTGCCACACGTGCCACACATGCCACACATGCCACACATGCCACACGTGCCACACGTGCCACACATGCCACACATGCCACACATGCCACACATGCCACACGTGCCACACATGCCACACATGCCACACGTGCCACACATGTCACACATGCCACACATGCCACACATGCCACACATGCCACACATGCCACACATGCCCACATGTGCCACATATGCCACACATGCCACACATGCAAACATGCATACATTCTTGCCCTCCTTGTCGCCCCCCCTCCTCTCCCCCAGGGTCCATGTTTTTAGGAGAACAAGGACACCAACGAGGCCATGGCCGTCTTTGTGAAAGCACCACATGCTCACCTCTCTGCACACATGCTCACCGCACTCAATCCCTCTGCAGGTTCCACGTGCTGAAGGAGAACAAGGACACCAACGAGGCCATGGCGCTCGTGGCTCGGTACCTGGGCGTGCAGACCAAGGCGCTGGGGTTCTCAGGCACCAAGGACAAGCGCGCGGTCACGGTGCAGCGAGTGAGTATTTTTGCCAGGGCGCTTGGGCTCTAGGAGAGCACACTGTGCAGAGGGTGGGGTGGAGTGTAGAGGGTTTTGGCATGCTGATATTCAGGCCCCCCTCTCATCATCTGCCATGTGTCTGCACTGCACCTTCCCTTATTAGGTAACCGTGTGCAACCAGATGGCTCGCAAGGTGGCATCGCTGAATTCCAAGCTGTTTGGCATTCTCATGGCATTCTCATGGCATGTCATGGCATGTCATGGCATGTCATGCCACCGCCCATGTCCCATCCATCGCCACGCACCACCCACCACGCCCCCAGGTCACGGTGTGCAACCAGACGGCGCGCAAGGTGGCGTCGCTCAATTCTAAGCTGTTTGGCATCCGCGTGGGCGACTACCGCTTTGTGGACCAGCCGCTCGTGCTGGGGCAGCTGGCGGGGAACCGATTCATCGTCACCCTCAGGTGAGAGCAGCTCACAGCCGCGACAGGTCACAGCCGCGACAGGTCACAGGCGCGACAGGTCACAGGCGCGACAGGTCACAGCCGCGACAGGTCACAGGCGCGACAGGTCACAGGCGCAACAGGTCACAGGTGCGCATGTTATGGATGGGATGGGGGGGTAGCTCAGGTTATGCCAGAGCTGGCTGCAGCTTCTCTCAGGTGAGCCGGTGTGCGCATCACTAGCCTAGCGGGCTGTAAGCTAACATGTATCATGAGGGTGGGCGACCACCGCTTTGTGGACCAGCCCCTCATACTGGGGCAGCTGGTAAGTTGTTTTTTTTAGAAATTCTCAAAAACCAACTTCCCTCATGCTTGGGATGCTGGTGAGGAACCGATTTGTCGTCACCGCCAGGTGAAGTGCTGAGCTGTCAGTCACACATTGAATAAAAAAGGAGTCCGGTTTCGGGTTTTGAAGCTATAACCAGAGGAGAGTTAATGGAGGCCAGTGGAGGTCTGAACTTTCTGGCGCCGATGGACCAATGGACGGAGAGACGCCAGGATGGCAGACAAGGGGCCGCCTCCTCTTGGCCTTGCCTTCTCCACAGACCACTGTCAAAAAAGCATGCCATTGCATCCCCTCTCCTGGCCTCCTCCTGTGTCTGCGCCCTCCTCCTCCTCCTCTCGTCCTCTTGCATCTCTGCCCCGCATGCTGTGCACCAGGTCAGTGCAGGCGCCGATTCTGGGCGCCATCACAGCAGCAGCAGTCTAGATGGCGGGCTTATCCCCTGCCCCCCTCTCCCCGCCACTTCGTCTTCTGTCCCCTTCTCCCCCCACATGTCTGCATGCCGCCCCTCAGGTCGGTGCAGGCGCCGAGTCTGGACGCCATCACAGCAGCAGCGGAGGGCCTCCGCACGCACGGCATCATCAACTACTTCGGCCTGCAGGTGGGTGCTGGTGCAGATGGCTATGATCCGCCAGTCTCCACTTTCAATGCCTGTTTTCTTCTGCCACTTGCCGTAATATCATTGCTAACTGTGTGTTTGAGTGGACTCGTCTGTGAGCCATCTCAGAAACAAACATACGCCCTCCCGTTCCTTCTCCCCTTGGCTTGAGTGCAGAGGTTTGGAGTGGGCCCAGTGGCCACACACGCGGTGGGGGCGGCGCTGCTGAGGGGCGACTGGCAGGGCGCAGTGGACCTCATTCTCAAGCCCAGAGACGGGGATATCCTTGCTCCTCCCATGCCCTGCTCCTCCCATGCCCTGCTCCTCCCATGCCCTGCTCCTCCCATGCCCTGCTCCTCCCATGCCCTGCTCCTCCCATGCCCTGCTCCTCCCATGCCCTGCTCCTCCCATGCCCTGCTCCTCCCATGCCCTGCTCCTCCCATGCCCTGCTCCTCCCATGCCCTGCTCCTCCCATGCCCTGCTCCTCCCATGCCCTGCTCCTCCCATGCCCTGCTCCTCCCATGCCCTGCTCCTCCCATACCCTGCTCCTCCCATGCCCTGCTCCTCCCATGCCCTGCTCCTCCCATGCCCTGCTCCTCCCATGCCCTGCTCCTCCCATGCCTTGCTCCTCACATGCCTTGCTCCTCCCATGCCTTGCTCCTCACATGCCCTGCTCCTCCCATGCCCTGCTCCTCCCATGCCCTGCTCCTCCCATGCCCTGCTCCTCACATGCCTTGCTCCTCCCATGCCTTGCTCCTCACATGCCCTGCTCCTCTCATGCATGCTGTGCCATGGCCCCATGTGCCACACTCCCTTTTTTCCATGCTTCACTAGTTCGATCAGGCATGGCAGTGCTGCAAATGTGAATGGCTTTCAGCTGTTGTCTGTTGGTACTGCTCCCTCGCCCACCCATGCCAACGCACTTCAGTACAGTCGCACCCTCCTCGTTCACTCTTTATACAAGGCAAACGCGTCTGCTAGTGATCCTTACATCATGTGCCGTTCTCTCTATCATTTTGACTTGCTCACTCTGCAATGTTCATCTCGCCACAATCGGAAGGAGCAGCGGAAGCCAGGCGCCTGTGGATGAAGACAAAAGATGCCGACCTTGCGATGATCCACATGCCGACCAGAATGGTTGCCGAACGAGGAGTTGTGAGTGCCACTCCTATTGGCCCTCACTCTTATCACCCCTCACTCACACCACCCCTTCACCAGTCTGTATCTCCTCCATCCAAACATCATGTCTCAGCTTGCTCCTCCACTCTCTCCCCTTCTGAATCACTTCTCACCCCCTTCTTATTTGCACCTCATTCTCACTAACCACCCACCCACGCCCAACCACTCCCTCACCCCCGGCCTCCTGCTGTGCTGCAGCTGTCGGGTTTGAAGCGCAACCCTCGCAATCTGGTGCAGGCATTGGGTTTTATTCCCCGCACAATGCGCCTCATGTGAGTCTGTGATTCCGTATTCTCACGTCCTCCCACACAGCAGCCCGCAGCGCCCTTATTCGAACGTCCCATTGCCCATACCCTCCACCTGCAAGAGCCATCTAGTTCCTGTTGGAGATAAGGCGTCAACAAACTAATCTGCTTGTACATGCACATGACCCCTAGTGGGGATTCCCTACTGCCCTTCCAGTACCCCCATGGCCCTTCCAGTACCCCCATGGCCCCATGCGTGCGCCGCTATATCAGTGGAAGAAAAGCCTCTCTCCTCAATCCGCCCACCCACTGTTCCCTCCTCTCCTGGTTTGAAAAGGACCCTCACTGTCCCCCCTCTACCCCGTGGTCACGTACATTCACAGGCAGCACAGCTATCAAAGATTCCTTACTTAGGAAGAACGGCCTGTCTCCTCACCTCGCCCCCCCCATCTTTTCGCCCCTGTTTACTATGTCCTCCAAACACTTCCTCCCCCTCCCCCTCCCCCTCCCCCTTCTTCACTGTGGGCAGGTACATGCACAGCTAAGAACCTCTTTCCTTGCTTGTCCGAATACTTTCCCGCCCCTTTTTACTCTGAGCCCCACCCCCCTCCCCCCTCCCCCCTCTGCGCAGGTACGTGCACAGCTACCAGAGCTTTCTTTGGAACCATGCAGCCTCACACCGCATCAAGACATATGGTGAGACATACCGCATTGCACCGCATCACACCGCACTTGAACAGAATGGTGACTGTCACTCGCAGGCCAATATGCATCCCCGGGACAATTTGCTTTCCCTATGCTTCCCCAGGAGACTGCGCCTTCCCCGGGACACTACCCCCATCTCACTACCCCCATCTCACTACCCCCATCTCACTACCCCCATCTCACTACCCCCATCTCACTACCCCCATCTCACTACCCCCATCTCACTACCCCCATCTCACTACCCCCATCTCACTACCCCCCCCATCTCACTACCCCCATCTCACTACCCCCATCTCACTACCCCCATCTCACTACCCCCATCTCACTACCCCCATCTCACTACCCCCATCTCACTACCCCCATCTCACTACCCCTCCTTTTTCGCCCCACCTGCAGGCTCAACTCGAGTGGTGGCAGGAGATCTAGTGCTCTGCTCTCCCTCTGCTGCTGCTGCCACCACTGCTGCGGCCAGCAATGCTGTGGGCATAGCAGCTGCAGTTACTTCAGCAGGCGGGGGTGCAGAGGGAGGGGGGATGAGGGGCACAGACGCCGAGGCGGAGGCAGAGGAGGCAGCAGCAGTGGCAGTGGAAGCGAGGGCGGAGGGGGCGGAGGTGCGGGTGGTGAGGCAAGAGGAGGCGGACCAAGGGATATACTCCATTGATCAAGTGGTGCTGCCGCTGCCGGGGTAGGTCGCGAGCTTTCGTGGGTTGTCTGGCTCTCCCAGGGTAGGTCGCAAGCCCAGGGCAGAGGGGGCGGAGGTGACGGTGGTGAGACAAGAGGAGACAGACAGACACAGGGACGTATGCCATCGACCAAGTCCTGCTCCCACTGTCAGCGTGAGTTGTTGGTTTTAGTGAGGTGTTTCTCCGCTTCAGTGCATGGGCTGAAGTGAGGGGGGTCAGTGGGGAGGAGTACGAGGGAGGGAGCACCATTTCGGTGCCTTACCTTTTCACTGCACCGACTTAGAGAATGCTGGGCAAAGAAAGAGTGCGTGGGCTGAATTCCTCCCCTCCCTTCCCTTCCCCCCTCTCTGTCCCGCAGGGGCTCCATCCAGTACCCCACCAACTCCACTGCTGAGGTCTTCCACTCTCTTGCAGCCAAGGTGCGCCCGTGGCTACTTGTTTGAGCCTATGGTCGCCTTGCCTGTAGTCGGCATGACTATGGCCCATCCAGAACCCCGCCAACTCGAGGTGACTTTTGAGTCGACTCAAAAGTCACCTTGCCTGTAGTCGGCATGGCTATGGCCCATCCAGAACCCCGCCAACGCCGCCGCTGAGCTCTTCCAGTCTCGCAGCCAAGGTGCATTGAGTCAAGATGCATTGAGTCAAGGTGCATTGAGTCAAGGTGCATTGAGTCAAGGTGCATTGAGTCAAGGTGCATTGAGTCAAGGTACATTGAGTCAAGGTACATTGAGTCAAGGTGCATTGAGTCAAGGTACATTGAGTCAAGGTACATTGAGTCAAGGTGCATTGAGTCATTGTTGCTGTGAGACCTTCCAGTCACTGTGTCCAGGTGCCTGTAGTCATCCAGTACCCTACCAATTCCACCGCCCATGTCTGCCAAATCCTTTGCAGCCAAGGTTGGCTCTCCACCACATGTTGTGTGTGGGAGCACAGCTTTCGCACATACATCCCTCTCAGCTTTCTTCGTCCTCTTATATTTTGTTGAGCTCCTTCCTTCTATCCTGCTCCTTCCTTTCTCACCCGCTTCTCACCCTCCCCCGTTGCTTTTCTTTACTGCAGGACGGCATTGACCTCTTCAGGAGCAAGCACAGCGTCAAGTAAGCAAGCACAGGGCCCATTAGCTCAACTTGCTCCAGATTTTTCTCATGCCTCCTGCGTTTCTCATGCCTCCTGCGTTTCTCATACCTCGGCTGCCGGCTATTCTCTGGAAGTTTGGGATGTTATTATCTGTTGTGCTCCCTCTTGTTCCTCCTAACTGGCAGGGAGTACTCCATCGAGCGCATCCCAGGGGGCTACAGGCGGCTGCTACAGATGCCGTCTGACTATAACTGGTGAGCCGGGCAGGCAGGCTGCACTCAACTTTACTCGTTCCTTTGTCAGGCCACTTTTCCCGTTGCCCTACACTCTCTCTCCATTCTTCTGCCCTTCCCCCTGCGCATCCAGTCACCCCCCTTCTCTTCCAGGCGTGTGCTGGCCTACTGGTGCCCAGCCCAAGTGCTGCCCTCTCCGCAGCCTCTGACCTCGACCGCCTCGCTGCTGCTGCCCTCTCCGCAGCCTTCAACACTGCCCCTCCTGCCCCTTACTCTTTCCCCGACCTCTTTCCCCTTCACTCTTTTTCCCTACCAGGCGTGTGCTGGCCTACTCACGTCCAGCCCAAGTGCTGGCAGAGACTGACCTCGACCGCCTCGCTGCTTCCGCCCTCTCCGCCCCACACGCCACTGCCCCTCCTGCACCCCATCCTGCACCTTCCCCTGCCTCTGCGCCTGACCCTGCCGCCCTTGCTGCCCCTACCTCTACCTCGGCTCCTGCCCCCGCCTCTGGTGCGCCAGCAGCAGAGACAGCAGCAGCAGCAGCAGCAGCAGCAGGAGGAGGAACTGCTAACGGTGACGCCCCTGTTGTCATGGAAGCAGCGCACGTGTACTATGGATTCAAGCAGCCGGGGTATAAGGGCATGCTGAAGCAGGTGCTGAGGGGAGAGGGGAAGGCGGGGGCTGCTGCTGACGCTGCAGCAGAGGAGGAATCTGGGGGAGAGGCGGCAACAGCAGCAGGGGGAGACGGAGCAGGAGCAGCAGGAGCAGCAGGAGCAGTGCCAGCAGTGGTGGTGTTGGCGTCTTCAGGCGGAGTCAGGCTGGGGAAGGAGGAGCTTGAGCGGCTGGGGATTGGGGAGGAACCCATCGGAGGGCCGGTGGGGGGCATGGAAGGGAGTGCTGTGGGAGATGGAGCGGTGGAAACATGTGAAGGCAAGGAGGAGGGGAGTGAGGGCGGTGGGGGCAAGGTGGGAGCAGGTGAGGGTGCAGAAGAGGCGAGAGAAGGGAGAAAAGCGGAGGTGGAGAATGAGGAGGGGGTTGAGAAGGAGAATGTGGTAAACGAGGGTGCAGAAGCTGCTGCAAAGGGGGGGGCTGGAGAGACAGGGGGGAGAGGAGCAGGAGGGGCGGAGGGAGAAGGGAGCGAGGGCATGCGAGTGGCTTTGCAGGTGGAGTTCACCCTGCCTGCCTCCGGATATGCCACCATGGCCATCCGAGAGCTGCTCAAGGCATCCACTGCGGTGAGTGGGACATTGTGTGTGTGTGTGGGTATGTGGCATGCGGAATACAGCTGAGCTGAGAGCATGCAGGTAGCATTGCAGGGGGGTTTCACCAGCGGCATGTTTGGTAGGCCACCAAGGCCATCCGAGAACTGCTCAAAACATCCACTGCGGTGAGGCTCATATGATGCGGGTGTCCAACATAGGTGGTGGGGGATGGGGGAGAGGACACACTCCGTCTGATTCCGTTTTTGGTTGCTTACCCGTTTGCAGGCGGGTGCACACAAGAGCTTCAATGAGAGGACAGAAAGCAGAGCTTGATGCGAATGATACGATGCACTGTAGATTGTCCAATTGTGGTTGTTCTTGGCATTTACCGCTTCTTATTTTCATTTGTGTTCACTGTTCACTAGTTTAGGCCTTCGTAACACCATCCGTGGTGGAGCAACCTGTGATTACTACGTTAGGTGATAATGCCATGCATCCCTCGCAGTTGTGTACGATAAATGGTATTTGGCCTTGATTAAGAAAGCTTGCTTCTTGTTGGTGCAATTGGCATTCTCATTTCACTGGCATCAAGTACACAGAGTTTCCAATATTTCAAATACATCAACCTAGATTGCTACACCAAGAAGGCTATGCCTATGCTGATGACGATCCACGGAAGCAGTGCAGGTTGCCAGGGACGAATCAATGAAGCCAAATGGAACGGGATGGATTGTGACACGAATTTAAGAGGAGTGTGCAGTGCAGTCGTCATAGCATTTTAGATCTCAATGACACAGCACACTCATGGTAGTTAGAAGTGTTAAAGTAAGAACTGAATGATGAACTAGGAGAAACCTAGAACAAATACTAGTTGGTTGTACTCACTAGAAGCATACCCCAGTCTAGCCTATAACTTCTACATAGCTAATATGTATAAATTGACACACCCCCTAGGCTAGACAAGGGGTGAAGCTAAGCAAGAAGCAAACAGCTCAGGGTGGCACTACTAGTCCAACCACTGATGCAGGGGTCTGGAGACCAGTCAGCAAGAGTACAAACAAGACTAAAGCAAGCCAGGGCGGCACTACTAGTCCAGCCACTTGAGGTAAGGCCACAAGGCCAGTCTGACAAGCATATATAATAGAGAGTACACAATCAAGATCCTAACAGGAGAGTAGCTACAGGAACAAGGCCAAGCTGTACAGAGTGCCGCTGATGATCTTTAGGCGCAAGCGCCTTAGTAAAGATATCAGCTGTGTTGGCACCTGAGGCCAAGTGAACTACGCGGGCCTGGCGGCGCTGCTGTAACTCACGCAGGAGGAAGTACCGCAGCTGGATATGCTTCGCTCTGCCCTCAAGCCGAGGCTCCTGACACAGGAGTATCATGGCCCTGTTGTCAGCGTACAGGACCGGGGCAGAGCTAAGCCGCTCACCTAAGTCTGTGAGCAAGAAGGTCAGCCAGCGGAGCTCCTGTGCCGCCATGGCACCGGCGTAGATCTCAGCCTCACAGCTGGACTGAGCCACAGACGACGAGCGAGTGGATCTCCAAGAGATAGCACCCGAACCAAGGCTAAAACAGTAGCCCTGCGACGACCTGAGCGTCTCAGAGTCGTCTGCCCAAGAAGCGTCTGTGTGCCCAGTAAGGACCACCGGCCTGCATCCTCCTAGCACTAACCCCATGCCCGATGTACTAGCAAGATAACGCAAAACCCTCTTAGCGGCAGACCAGTGCTGAGGTCGGTGCCTGCCAGTAGCCACAAAGCGAGCCAAGATGCTGAGAGGGTATGCGAGATCTGGGCGAGTGCAAGTCATCAGGTACATGAGGCAACCCACCAGCTCTGCGTAGGGGCCACTGGGCTCTACTGGCTCCTCAGGAACGGGAGCGGAGAGCCCATGGTCTACAGGTAGAGGTGTGGGCTGTGCAGAGGAGAACTGAAGACCGAACCTCTGAAGGACCTGACGCACCAAGTGTGACAGTGTCAGAGTGATGGTGCGTGTTGCTCTGTCCCTAGAGATCTGCAGGCCAAGATAGCGACGCAGCTCTCCAAGGTCAGTGCAGGTGTGTCTCTTCAGTAGCTCGGCCTTCACAGAGGCCAGTGCGTCCTTGTCAGCAGTAGCAAAGACCAGGTTGTCTACGTAGACAAGGATGTAGAACGGAGTCTGGCCGGAACGCACAAACAGTGAGGGGTCAGCAGAGGACAGAAAGAACTGCAGGTCTGCTAACATGGCACGCAGCGTGTCGTGCTACTCGCGGGGAGCCTGACGCAGGCCGTAGACCGGGCGCCTGAGAAGCCACTGGGTCCCAGGGGGGAAGGTACCAGTGAAGCCCTGTGGTCGCCGCAGGTAGACCTGCTCGTGTAGGCTGCCCTGAAGAAAGGCAGTAGAGAAGTCGAGGGAGTGAAGCTCGTAGTCGCGCTGTGCTGCTACGTGTTGCAGCGCCCGAAGAGTGGTCATCTTCGGGGTCGGGGCGAAGGTCTGGAAGAAGTCAACCCCCTCGCGCTGACTGAAGCCTCTGGCCACGTAGCGCGCCTTGAAGACAGGCGACTCTCCAGGGGGGCGCTTCACCTTGAAGAGCCACCGACCATCGACTACGTTCACCCCAGGCGGGGGAACTGCGTCGACGTAAGTGCCGGTGGACCTCCAAGATGCCATCTCCTGCTCCATGGCAGCTATCCACTGAGAGGCCCAAGGTCCCGAGGTGGCCTCAGCGTAGGTGCGAGGGGTCAGGATGTCGAAGGCGTCTGGGTCACCCTCAGGGACTAACAGCATGGAGCAGAGATGGGGAGCAGCCTTGGAAAGGAAAGCAAGCTCGTACTGCCTGTCCTCTAGGACGTCACTGCCAAGGGCAGGAGCACCCCCGACGGACGGAGGACGGGCAGGGTCAGAGACCAGAGCGGTAGCGTAGTCAAGGCGGCGGGTAGAGGCGAAGTCAGCGACATCAACGACAAGCGCGTCAAGGCGCGAGACAGGAACAGAAGGGTCGGTAACAAGAGAGGCAAGGACCCGAGGGACAAGGGGACGAGCGGAACGGAGGTAGTCAGAGAACGGAGGAGGTGCAACAGCAAGGGACGAGGGAGGAGGGGACGGAAGGAGGGGAGGACGAGACGAGTGGGAACGGAGTAACATAGGGTGGGAGCGCAGGACAGGAGAGACGGGACGAGCACGGGAGGGACAGCGAGACCAAATGTGGGACGGAGGTGTAGGGTCAGGGGACAGCGGAGGGGACACAGGAGGGGAACGAGGAGGAAGACGGGCCGGAGACGAGTCTGGCGGCGGGAACACAGGACCGTAGACAGGAAGGTGAGCAGGCGGTGGGGGAGACACCGGCGAGCGGTCCGGGGAGGGAAGACCGAGCAGGCGGAGAGCGGAGACCGGCGGCGACGGCTGTTGCGGCTGCTGCGACGGCTGGGCCGGAACCCTCGGACCGGCAGAGGCAGGACGACCGTCGGCGGAACCCTCAACAGCAGCACCCCCAGAACCAACACCCCCAGAGCGAGAACCCCCTCCAACACCGGCGGCACCCCCAGGAGCCGCAGGACGAACACCCTCCTCCACACCAGCACCCCCAGGGGCCAAGAGCGGCGGCGACGGCAGCGGCGGCGATGGCGGCGGAGGCTGCGGCGGAGGCGGCGACTGCGACAGCAGAGGCGAAGACACCGGGGAAGGGGGACGCGGCAAGGACGGGCCGGGGGTACCACCAGAGACAGCGGACTCCTCAACGGGGACAACTGACGAGAGGGGAGTGACGTGAGAGACGCCAGACGGGGCACGGCGAGGCGGGAGAGGAGCAGGGGCTACCGGGGGAGAGGGAGCAAGGAATAGGGGGGGGGCAACCGGGAGACCTCGGTGAGGGAAGCGGCGGTAGAAGGAGACAGACTCGTCAAAGGTGACGTCACGAGAGTGGAGGAAGCGGTGAGACGGCGGGTGGTAGAAAAGCCAGTCAGACGAGTCCAGGGGGACAGTGCGGGCAGTAAGCTTGTCCGTGCTAGAGGCACGAACGTGAGCAAGGCAGCCCCAGACGTGGAACGCAGACGCGTCACCCGGGGACCCGGTCCAAAGGAGGGTCAGCGAAACATGCGGCCCCTGGGAGCGTGGCCACAAATTAAGCTGGTGAGCAGCGTAGCGAACAGCGAACGGCCACAGAAAATGGGGGGCATCGGCATGAATCATGGAGGTACGGGCGACCTCCATGACCAAGCCGATGCGGCGCTCAGCAACCCCATTCTGCTGTGGGGAGTCCGGCAAGGTGTACGACTGGGTGATGCCCTCCGCACGACAGAACTGTCCAAGCCGACCAGAGGCGAACTCGCCGCCACGGTCAGAGTGGAGACACAACACGGGGAGGCCGCGGTGAAGACGCGCAGCCACAACCCACGGGAGAAGAACGTCGGGCACGTCGGCCTTCCGCTCCAGGGGAAACATCGTGGTGTAGCGCGTGTAGTCGTCGACGAGCACAAGGAAGTAGCGCTCACCTCGCGGTCCGGGGACAGGGGCAGGGCCCCAAACGTCCAGGTGCAGGGTCTGAAGGGGGGCAGCAGCAGGGCGCAACGAGGAGGAGTGAGGATTACGGCGGAGCCGGCCCTCGTCGCAAGGCGTGCACGGTGGCGCAGTCGAGGGAGGAAGGGCAGGGAGCGACGCAGGGAGACCTAAGACAAGACCGTGCTGGGACATGTAACGCAGACGTGGGAGAGCAGGGTGACCTAGGCGGTGGTGCCAGAGAAGGGACGGGTGAGTGAGGGACCGACACGAGCAAGCTGCAGCGACCTGGGAGGATGCACCAACCGGGGGGGAAGCGATGTCGAAGGTAAACAGACCGGACACCGGGTCCCGGGGGAACGTCGCAAGGGGGGAACCTGAGACAGCCTCAGAACAGACAGCGAACCGCTCGTGCCCGGGGAACGTGGTGGTGACGCCGAGGTCCTGGAGACAGCGGACACCAACTAGGTTCCTCGAGAACGAGGGAACGTGGAGGCCTGTAAGGGAGCCCGAGGGAACTGCTGGACAGGGAAGAGACGTGGAGCTGCGAGCGACGACAGGACCCGCAGAGGGGTCAGCAAGAGAGACAACAGCAGGCGTAGCAAGCGGCGTGAGCGCGGAACAGTCGCGGAAGAAGCAGGCAGAAGCACCGGAGTCGAGAGTGAAGGACAGCGAAGCTGTGGCGGAGGTCGGGAACGGAGCCAGTGCAGAGACTAGGCTAGGCAAACTAGGCAGTCCTACGCCTGACGCAGCAGGGGAGGCTAAGCTACACAACGGTGCAACGCCTAAACTAGAGTACACAGGGTAATAAGATCCAGCAACACTAGAAGCGTCAGAATACAAGGCATGCAAAGCAGCACCTATCTGATCCATGTTTAACTCAAAGATCGGCACGCCCTGGCGGAGCAGGCTGTGCCAGTCGGGGAGGTCCGGGGCAGGGCCAAAGCGACGACGAAAGAGATCGTCGAGGCGGCGCAAACAGCGGGCGGTCGGGTGCAGGCGGCGACACAGAGTGCCGCGAAGAGGCCCGGTCTGAAGCTGGTACTGGCAAGTGACAGCACCGGAGCCGCC